CCATGCATCTGAAGAAGTGGGTTTTTTACCCACGAAAGCTTATGCCCAAATAAATCTGTTAGTCTTTAAGGTGCCACTGGACTTGGTTTTTTACCGATGATCAAGCCATGAGAGACCTATCAGACCCTAACACTGTTGTTAAGGATGTGAGTATAACTATACTTGTAACTTGTGCATAGGTCTGTATAACATTTCTATATGCTTGGGTAATCATAACTTTAACAAAACTTGTAAAAGAGTCTAGACCTTGTACTTGTGAATGTCTGTGTGGTCACTACCGTTGGTCTTTATGTGTTCCTAGAGACAATATCTGTAAAGCAAGTAGCAGAGGTGTCTTTCAATCTGTTAAGCTTGAAACTGTAGCCACCAGAGCCGAACCCACAGTAGTTTAATACCACATTACAAAATTCACTTTACATCAAATAAAAGGCTACAATAGCCACGGTTAACGCTCTCTCATACACCATTAGAGCGCCTCCTGCTCAATGACAATATAAATTAAGGTCAGGAATTCAGCTCTGGTTAGATTAACTCAGCCTAACATTGTTTAAGGAGACTTTACATGGAAATTCTGTTTATATCTGGCACCTCAACCATCTGATGATGAATGCAGCACCTCTGCATTATACGGTTATTCGGTGACTCTGGTTCTGCTGATACTGGAAAATCCCTGGACTTTGGGACACTTGCTTTAAAACAACAAACAATTTGGTGTCCCTCAGCATTCTCCCTCCCCTGGCCACACACCACGGACTCTGTGTAAACCATGGAGCCACCCACCAGCTGGGATTGGACTAGAATCTCTCAGAGAGATTGTTTTAAAGGGACTTGGTTTTGACAATCTCTGATATTTTTACTGATAACGTCAAACATCGGTGAGTGGATTGTCCTGGAGCTGGTTAAAAGTGGAACCTTCCATCCTGCATGACCCAAATGTGCAACAAAGACGAAAAATGAAGAATGACAAAAACAGGATTGGAAATCCGAGAGGGTTAATATACATTTTTCTCTAACTCCGGTTTGGCGTCTTGATATCACTAGTCTGCAGCACCCAGTGAAAGGTTACCAGGTTGGCTTCAGTTGGGGTTAAATTTGAGTTTACAAGAGGGGATGGAACTTGTGAGCAGGTACAGTTGAGCAGAGCAAGTGGCAGGAGACCCAAACTTGCATGAGTATATTATCACACCACCTTTCTGGGTTTTCTGCGATGTATCTTAGGTATTTATGTAGCCCCATTGAATGTATTTATCCTCACAACCCCCCCTGTGAGGTGGAGAAGTGCTGTTATCCCCATGTTACAGATGAGGCACTGAGGGTACGTCTACACTGCAGCTGGGAGCCAGCCTCCCAACCCAGGCAGACAGCCTGGAGCTAGCTGGGCTCACACTAGTGCGCTAAAAATAGCTGTGGGGACGCTGCTGCATCAGCCAAGGCCACAACCCTGCTCCTTGGGTCCAGTCCACCCAGCTATTTTTAGCATGAACCCCATCACTGCACGTCTGTCTACCTGGTCTGGGAGGCTCACTCCCCGCTGCAGTCTAGACATACCCAAGGTCCCACAGAAAGTCCTTGGGAGAGCAGAAGCTTGAACCTGGGACTTCTGAGTCCCAGGCACCCTAACCACTAGACAATGCTTCCTCCCCTATGCTGGTAAATTGTTGGTCCTGTCCCCAGGAAATCATCTTTCCTCCTCCTCCCGAGTAAAAATTAGCAGGGGATTGGTTTTTTTTAAAGGTTTATTTTCCTGTGTTGACATGAAAGTGCAATAGTTGACAGTTTGCTCCCAAACTCTTATTCAACATAGATGTCCTGATCATTATAAAAGTCGGTGCTTCCGAGGTTTCTCCCTAATCCTTTTTGCTTTGCTATTAGTATACATTAACGTTTTATTGGCACTACAGGCCGAAACAGCCAGTCTTGCAGCTCCAGTGGGTTTGGGGATTTCCAGCATCCTGCAAGACGTATCTGTTCAGAGGAAATTAAAATGTGGATGGATCAGCAAGATACAGTCAAATCCTCTACTGTAATTTGGAAAGGAATAAACTCTGGTGCTAGAGGTTAGTACTGCAGCCCATCTAATAGAGCTGATGAGCTGTGTTACAGCCTTTCGGGAAGTTTAGTTCTAGCCCACCAGGGAGTGTTTTTTCAAAGAAGCTATGTACTACATGAACAGATCTTTCTTAAAAAAAAAACATTCAGATATACACTGTCAGAATGCACTTGAAATAAAAGGAGGGATCTCAGCAGAATGTTCCTTTTAGTGTCTTATACCCGGCCAGTGTCAATCTGAGGAATATATTCCAATGTCTTAAGGCTTGCTGGATTTTTTTCGATAGGTGGTACACTAGAGAATTCTATAAGGTTCTTTGCCAGTACAGTATCAGGGGGTAGCCATATTAGTCTGTATCCACAAAAACACGAGTCCGGTGGCACCTTAAAGACTAACAGATTTATTGGGCATAAGCTTTCATGAGTAAAAATCCACTTCTTCAGATGCATGGAGTGAAAATTACAGATGCAGGCATTACTATACTAAGAGAAGGGAGTTACCTCACAAGGGGAGAACCAGTGTTGGCACGGCCAATTCAATCAGGGTGGATGTAGTCCACTCCCAATAATTGATGAGGAGGTGTCAATTCCAGGAGAGGCAAAGTTGGTTTTGGAGTGAGCCAGCCACTCCCAGTCCCTATTCAAGCCCAAATTAATGGTATTAAATTTGCAAATGAATTTTAGTTTTGCAGTTTCTCTTTGAAGTCGGTTTCTGAAGTTTTCTTGTTCAAGTATGGTTATTTTTAAATCTGTTATAGAATGTCCAGGAAGATTGAAGTGTTCTCCTACTGGCTTTTGTATGTTACCCTTCCTGATGTCCGATTTGTGTCCATTTATTCTTTGACTCTTATGAATGTAGAAGATGTGTCTGTTTTCAGTAGCAGTATTCAGCACTCTTCCTGTAATAGTATTCCCATTGAATGGAATATTACTGGTATGGGCCACTTTCAGAGACAGGATACTGGGCAAGATGGTCTGACCCAGAATGGCCCCTCTTATGTTCGTAAGCCCGCTGAGAGCTAGGGTTTTACTTTTGTCCTCGTTGTGATTGCAGGATCAGGACCTTAATACATCCACACTGCAATAAATGACCTGCAGCTAGCCCAGGTCAGATGACTCTAGTTCACAGGGCTTGGGCTGTGGGGCTAAAAATTGCAGTGTAGACATTCAGGCTCAGGCTTGAGCCAGGCTGAGCCCTGCAAGCCCAAGTCCATGGGTTTGTTATTGTAGTGGAGACATATTAAGGCCCTGGTACTGTAGCCGCTTATGCACATTCTTAACTTTATCCATATGACTAGTCCCATTGATATGCAAGTGTTTGCAGGATTGGGGCCCAAATTTGTAACCTTATCACTTCCCAACTTTTCGAAGGAGTTGGCTGCTATGATAGCACCAAGTGGGGTTCTTGCAGGGATCATTTGCATATTCAAATACAGAGCGTACCTTTTGTCCTAATTGGATACCTTGAATTTTGGAGTGAGCTCTAATGTTTTTCCTAGGTATCCTAGAAAGATGCCAACTAATCAAGGGCCTTTTCTAGTTCCTTTGCTTATAGGCCTTTTCTAGTTCCTTTGCTTATTCAGCAAAACATTGAAACATGTGCGTAAGTCCATCCTTATATAAGGACTTAAGCACATAAGTGCATTGCTGAATCAGAGCCACCTACTGCAAACTCTTCAGGGCAGAGTCCAGGTCTGCCTGTGTGTTTGTACACGACCTACCCCAAATAGGCCCTGACCCTGATTAGGGATTTTGAGTGCTACTGCAATAAACAACAGCTGGAAGCTTCTGGAAATGACTTTGATCTGATTTTAGCAAGAGATTTATTAATATACTGTTTAAATGCAATTGATATAAACATTCTCCAATCCTTGATAAATGGATGTTTAAGAGATTCTGACTACCTAATTTTTTATTTTTTGTTCAAGAATTTTGGCCGTGGTGTGAGGGGAAGATGGTGGGAAGCCCAGAGCATCTGTTCTTTTCAATAATGCAGCTGATTCTCCCAGGGAGATGTTTAAGGAAAATACAAGTACCTTTAAAGAAAACATGTAGCTATACGTGACAGCTGAAACTCAGTTGTCCCGTCCTTTCCCGTGACACACTATCACCCTGAGCAGCGTGAAAACCCAGGCCAGGCAGGCCAAACAGAAGGGAAGGATATAACCTATTGACAGGAACACTAGAGTTTATTCAGAACTTCTGCAAGCTTCAGTTTATCTCGTTGAGAAGATCCAGCCACAGGTTTCAGCTAGACAAAGCTGTTCTCTTGAACCATCCCATAAAGCCATGCTTTACAACCCCACAGCAGGCCAGCCTCACAGGGGAGATGGCTTCAGTTCAGCTCTTACCCTGCCTCAGAATGAACCTGACCTAGCTCAGCTCATCGGAGTTTCGGAATCCCCATGAGGCAGTTGCCTGCAGGGGAGTGGGCCTCCAGGCCTTGCTGGTTGCGTATATTTTGTGGTAAATTTACACAAAGATCCAATAATGATGCAAACAGAGAAGGCCCGACTACTGACCTGGATGAGACAAATGTATCCTTAAGCACAAGGGCCATTCATTTTTGGTGTGAGCGATCAATGACCGGGATAGAAAGCACCCAAGAGTCAGAGCTGCAGCCATTAGCTTTGGAAGCAGAGCCACCAAATGGCTAACCCCATTCCAACACAGTCGAACACAATCACCAGGTGCAAAACACACAGATTTTTAATTAAAACCACAATATCGGAGAACATGGGGAGGTGGGATGCTCAGGTATTGCTTTTGCAGACCTGGGGGAAGCCAGGTGGTGCTTCAGGTAGTGTGATGCATGCACGTGGAACCACTCAGGGAAAGGGACAAAACCCAAACAGGCCGTCAGTTGAGATCTGACGGGGATCACAGTAATGACCAAGGAATGGAAGCAGCCTATTGCCAGATTATTGAGGGCAAGTTACAGGTGAACCAATAGGATTCACACAAACACTAGCTGCTTAAGATTCCAAATCCTTAACAGAATGAGGGTGCAGACTTAGATGGTCCATAAATAAATAATTCCATACTAGCTCCTCCTTATGTCCCCCATCCAGAGTTATACGGATGGCCCCAGTAAAGGTTGGTGGCATCACTAAAACCTAATGCAATGTAAGGAATGTACCCTTTTGGTGCTCTATTTTGCACTTTTGTTGCATCTTTCACCAAGGATCGGAGACAGCTCTGCAGACATTGAGGTCTCGGCTTTCATTTAGCTTGAATGGGAAGCCTAATTCCCATTAAAATGAAAGGGAATGTGGTGTCCAAATCTCCTAGACAACTTTGACAATCTCAGCCTAAGTCATGCCCAGTCTGCCAGGCAGCTATTATTAGACCTGTTTTACTGCACGGTAGAACTTGCCGATGGTCATGCAATGAGGCAGTAAGGGCAAGATGAGAACCAGGCCTCCTCGGTCTAGAACACTGTGCTCTGGTCCCTGAACTGCATCCTTTTAACTACAGCACCAGAATATAGAATGCTCAGGGGTCCTGACAGGTTAAAGTCTTCCTAAGTCACTTTTCCAGTGGATTTATTTGTAATTTAACTCCACAGAGATAACCTGTTAATGATTTAGGAGTAAAACAGGGATGGATTTTTCACATTTTATTTAAAATGTAAGTTGATAAAGCCACTACGTAAAAAAACAAAACCAGCAGATTCAGTTCATCTGCAATTGTCCCACGCTGCACTACCTCAGGCCCAAGCACTGGGATAGAGAGGACAGCTGCAGCTTGGCCAGGGTTTGCCTTTTTAGCCCAAGAAACAGATACTGCACCTGAATTTAAATGCATTTCTCATCCCTTCTTCCCCCAGCAGCAGGTCACAAGCTTTAGAGAAGGAAGAGGCTCCTTCCAGGGGATGCAGCCAAAGAGAAAATTGTGAAAAACCCAATTCCATGAGCAAAATAAACTTTTTCCAATAATTTAATAGCAATCAAGGGGCTCAGATGGAAAAGGTTAGGCAGGCTGGCTGCAGATGACAGCAGCGGGAGAAAAACTGGTATTGCACTCGCTAAGAAAGCCAAACAAAAAAGTGCCCCTGCTAGCCCTGCTACACACAGTTGGTGCTAACCCCTGCCACAGTCCAAGCCGATGTTTATTAATACCCCGGGAGTAATCTTGCCCTCTCGAGCTAGGAACTTAAAAAGAATCGTTGTCAGACCCAAGCGAACATGTAAGATTTACCCTCCTCCGTTTTCTGCCATTCCTTTTCTAGTACTGCTAATTACCAAAGGCACGTCTAAGCCCCTCATTTAATCAGAGGTGCCCCTAAGTCTAAGCCACTGGAAGTGAGAGTCTAGAACCACTGTATTAATTAAGTACGCTGAGTAAGCCTTCTAAACAACCTGCCCATCTTGGGAAACACAGAGCATGTCTGGTGCTTTAACGGGGTTTTGGTAAAAATAATTGTACAGTTTGCCCCAGTAGGGTGGCAGCTGTTGCAGGGAATGAGGGAGGTGAAAGACTTTTTTTTAAGAATGCAAAAGGCTGCCCCAGGACATTGACACACATTTTGTTTCCAGCAGTTAAATAATAGATTCAAAGCCAATATACCTGCCCTATGCTGCATTCCCTACAGTAACATCTACAGTGTGTGGGGATGTGCTACTGAATGGGAAAAATCCCTTATTATAGGGCTGTCACTACAACTTATAATCAAGCAAAAGCAGCCATGATAAATTACACTGAGGACATTAAGGCTGCCCCCATTCTAGTGGCTGCTAAACACTGCCCAGGAAAAGGTGGGTGTAGAGAAGGGGGCCGTGCCCAGCCTCAGCTGAGCCCAGAGTACTGATGGAGAGGGCACGTGTACCTGATGTGGAGTTAGCTACTGAGGGGAGGAAGTAACTGGCTCAGGCTCTGCTAGAACAGTGTCTTGGTAGAGCCATTCCTACTTAAATGCAACCAGCTGATGTCCAAAGCCTTCCCCCGAGCCCATCTCCAGCTCAGCATTCTAGGACCTAGGCTGGCAGGAGTGGGGCTCCCAGCTGGTACCCTGGAGAGGACACGGTGGTGTGAAAGGAAGACTCAAGGAAGTTTGCCAGGGATAGAAGTTGGAGGAGAAAAAGACAAAATTTTCTTACGCAGGCTAGGGGAGAGAGAGAGCACCCTGGCTTCATGTGACCCACAGGGATTTCCGACCACTTCTCCTACCCCTTGCAGAACACCCTTTGCAAGCAAAGGCAGCAGCAGAGACACTGGGGGCCTCCTGACACCAGGCACATTCACACTCCAGGACCTCTTTTTAAGGTTTTCTTCACAGCCATAACAGCAAGAAATGGCTTTTTTTTAAATGGAATCGAAGGCCTGGTCTACACACCTTGGGTTCCTCAAACAAGACAGCAAAAGATTCCAGTGAAACTGTAACCACCCCACCCCCACTACATATCTTCCTCCCCTTCCCAACCCCCTACCTCCAGGGGATAAAAAGCAGAGGTCTTCTTGTAAAGCCATACTAAACGATTCCCCTACCCAAACCCCATTCAAGCCACCCTCACGCCCAGCTCAGTATACGGCAGCCCTTCGAGCCACGAACAGCGTAAGACTGAACGCAGTGGAGGCTAGAAGCCCAGCCCTGGTTTTGTCCCTTTCTAGTCAGTGTGGGGAGCACTTGCATGAGCAGCTGCTCTTGGTCACTTCGTTCATGCAAGGTCGCTAAGTGCTTTGTAACTTTCTCTAGTTGTAAATACAAAGGGATGAATGGGCTGTGGGGCTGGAGAGGTGAGGAGGAGGAAGGGAGGAGGAGAGGAGGAAGAGCGCCGCACTGTCGTCTCCACTGCATCGACTCCTCCCATGGTCTCTAAGATGTGACAGGCTGGATAGGAAGCAGGCTGCCAAACTTAAAGTGCTGGATCACAGGAAACTTCTCCAGGCACTGCGGGAACAGAGAAGGAGAGGTGTAAAACCAGCGTGCTGCAGGCAGGGGATCACCCCCACCAGAAGCAGAGAAAACCAGAGCACATTTCCACTTGAACAAACAACCCAGAGTTAACCCACTTCCAACCTGAGATTGGGGCTCAGGAACCCATGTGGGCAACAAACACAGGGCAGCTCAGCTCTGAGATCCAGAGGGGCTGCAAAGGAAGAGCTAGCTTGAGGACTCTCTCCCTCAGCTCATTCCAGAGACACCATGGCCTTGATTCTGAGTGCCCATAATGCCCCTTGTCCTCCGCTGGACTTCGAGAGCTTAGCCCTTCGGCCATTCAGGCCCCGACTGTCAGTGGAAACAGAGGAGGGCGATTTACCTCAGTAGCCATGTCTCTATCAATACCTTTAAGTTCACCACCTTGCCACAATAAAGATCCAGGGGCAAAGAACACACGGGGAGTTACAGAAATCTATGTGGGGAAGAGATTTGCCACCTCAGCTCGCTCTGGGATCAGCCGTTCTGGCCTCTTGGATTCAAATGTTTTGCAGAAATGAGTTTCCCACGTTAATTATACATTGTCCAAAACCATATTTCCTTTTTTTTTTTGCTTTTAGATCCGTTGCCTTTCAACTGCACAGGCTGCACCCTTATTTTGAGAGACAGATGTATCGACTGACTTTCTCCATCCAATTCATTATTTTATATACCTCTGTTGTGTTCTCTTCTTATCAGTCCCCTAACCACCCAAGTCTTTTCACTCTGTTCTCCCAGAGTGGGCTCTCCATGCCCCTAATCATTTTAGGCACCTCATCTTTGGGCCCTCTGGATAAGGTTTCAGTCGCACTGGGCACCATCTGGAACAGTATTTTCTAGCATATGACCTTTTCTGTTAACACTGATGTAACTCAGGCCACTTGCTAATGGGACGGCCATGGGAAGGAGATGCTGCTCCTCTGAGACCCAGCTGTACAGTACCAACTCCCCCAATGAACATGCAGGGACAGGACGTAAAGGAGTGTGCTTGCTCCCTCCTGCTGTTCCTGAAAGAGAAGGAGGAGCAGAGAAGAACTCCTACAAAGCCAACACAAGGATCTGTCAGGGTCCCATGTTTGCAGTTGCACAAGCAGGGACGGTGGCTCCAACGCAGAGCATACAACCAACCCGTGCACCTCGCAAGAGGCGTTTCCCAAGGGAACAGGCTGTGGTCAGGCCAAACCCAAGTAAAGGCAGGAGGAGAGAGAGTCCGAGGAATGAAAGAAGAACACCTGGAAGGGAAAAGGGTGTGCAAAGCAAAGTAGCTGTGAGGTAGGGCTCTCCAGCCAGGCATCACACCTCAGGCCACACAACTGCTTCCTGCGAGCTTGGGAATGAGACAGATGCACAGCCACAATGGGAGCGGAGGAACGTGACCTGCTTCCACACATCTGAAGAGAACAGAAGGAAAGCCAGTGGGTTTAATTCAAAGCAGGGTGCATGGCCGAGAGTGGGAGCGGGTGAATCTGTGCGCTATTAAAAATTAAAAAAGGATTAATTGTGGATACTTTGCCATTGGCAAGGTCAAGAGGAACGAGCTGGATCAAAGGAAAGGCCTTTGTAGCAGTCTCTCAGCACCTGGCCTTTCCTATGGAGGGGTATGAAGTGGATCCTTGTCATGGCCCAGAGGGGCATGCAAGACTCACATTTGCGTGAGCATCCGTCTCTACAGTGCATGGCAACAACCGCTGCTGAAGGAGCAATCGCGCTCTGAACTGGGACAGAGAGCGGGGCTGGAGGACATTCTCCTCTGCTAGGGCACAAGGATCTGGTGCCAACAGAAATGGGCAGCACCATTTAGATTCTAAAATGGCCATTCCCTGCAGAGAGAGAGTAGAATAAATGGAAAAGATTTTCAAACAGGACAAAGAGGGGTATCCGCTCCAGCACAGGGAACCCAGGCTTGCGAAGGGCTCACTCCATTACGGCACAGTGGGATGTGTCACCATCATATCCTGGGGAGTTCTACAGTTTACAGGGCAGCAGGGCTACACCCAGCTCCCTCTGCCCCAGCGAATAGGTCCCTCAACTGCCTCACACCAACACCCACTGCCAACAAGTGAGGACAATGCTCATGGGGTGAATGTGAACCAGACTGCATGCCAGGTGCGCTCCCAATGCAGCAGGGGCGGCAGCAGGCACCCACCGCACTACAGACCACAGACAGGCCAGGAAGCAGCAGAAAGGAGCGCCCACAGAGAGAGAAGGAGCAATCCGCCTGCAGCACTGGAACTGAGCACTTCACTCTGCAGAGGCAGCTGCTGCTGGTGCTATTTTTAGTTGGGCTCTTGTCTTGGCAGCAGGGCCTGGGGACCCTGCCTGTGTGGGTTAGGCTGGTCGTTCTACGATGTTCTCCAGCCTGGTTACCCAGTGGAAGCCATTTGCACTGGCATTCAGACAGGGCATGGAAACAACCAATACACCATGTCAACACCTCCCTGAAGCTAGTAACTTGCTCTCCAGAATGTTAGGGCCTATCTGTCTCAGTGAAGATACTACCTACACTGACGGGAGGAGTTCTCCCCTTGGCAAGGTAACTCCACCTCCTGGAAAGGCAACAGCTGGATTGATGGGAGAATTCTCCCATTGACTAGCCCTGTCTACACTAGGGAGTGGGTCTGCTTTTCACACCCCTGAGCTATGTAGTTATAACCGACCTAATTTCCTCGTGTAGACCAGGCTGTAGATTCCAAAGAGCCAGCTCTCACTATTATGGCTGTGAATAAAACCTTAAAAAGAGTGAGCAGAGTAAGGCCTGGTCTACAAGGTTGCCTTAAATAAGTCATGCACAAGTGGGAAAAATCCACACTCCTGAGCAGCGTAGTTAAACCGACCTAACCCTGAGCATACAGGGCTAGTGGACAGAAGAATTCTTTTAGTTGCTGCCTCTCGGAGAGGTGGATTACCTATCCCAACGAGAGAAACCCTACCGTCTGCATAGGTAGTATCTTCACTGACGCGCTACAGCAGAGCAGCTCCAGTGTTTAGGTGTAGAAGTGCCCTTAGAAGAACACTACCACATCCCCCCTGCTCCCCAGTCTGCATACAGGGAGCTCCAAGCAAATTCCTAACTTGGGTTCCCCCCGCAAGAGATCCTCTCTCCACCAGGAGTTCAATGGAAGAGATTTATGCCACGGCACCAGTCGTTCTCTGGTCAGTTAGAAGAGGAAGCTTTCCTCTCTCCTCTCAGCACCAGTAGGCATCTGTCTCCTGAAGTCTTGTTCAATGGAGAACTGAGTGTGGGAAACTGGACAGAGGCAGGAGGGTATTTTTATGCATTAAAAAAATAGTAATAATAAAACACAGTCTCACCGACCCTGTAGTGTAGGCTCTGACTAACTTTAAAAGGAGGAAGCCATGACGATCTGAGCACTGGTTGCACGGGGCTTAGGCCTTGTTGCATTGGATGGGTATTCCACTTGGGCTCTCAGTAAAGGTGCACTGAAAGCAATCATTGGGTGGAAGGCCCTGAGGATGAACGTTTGTCCTAAACATTCGACAAGCAGCAGTCACACCAACTGACTGCAACACCCGAGACACGATCTTTAGCTCAGGTGAGGCTGAGCTGATGCAGTTGGACGTTGTTTCTTTCCAGCATGGATGGGAAGTCACGAGTTCTGCAGCCTGTCTTAACTCCCTTGCACCCCGCAGTGCCTTGTGTTTGGAAGTTTCCCGGAAGAGCCTATTCCCAACAATGAAGCTAAGCACTCCGGAATAGGTCCTTCGGGAATCCCAGAATGGGCTGGTGACAGCAGACACGTTACGTGAACGCTCCAAACAGTGCTGGCAGAAGCAGCGCTCCTGTGACGATGTGCTGAACCATAAGGATAAGCAAGAGAACCACTCCATACACTCATTGTCCCAGCCATACTTCCCTGGCACATCACAGGCACAGCCATCTCAGGCCTTGTCTACGCTGGAGGATTGGGATGACGAGTCAGGAATGCTGCTCACCACACTGCAGCAGAACCGGAAAAATCCCATCATGTGGGAATGTAAATCCAGACTCCTTTTCCAGAGGTTCATCTAGATCTTCTGAAACTTCCTCAGAGAGCCCCAGTTCTCCCTGCCCTTCTGCCTAGGGGGCAAACACTTCTGCTGCAGTCACTTCTTTTAAAGCAGTCTTGATTTTGTATTTAAGAGAGAGGCAGGAGTCAGTACCTGCGAGGGGGCCTGGCACGGTGACAGCACACCCTTCCGTGGGCGAGCGGGCCTTTGTCTCCACTAACCGAGCTGAAGGATCCATTGCTGGCATGCCGGAAACCAGCAAGCACTTGCATGGCTCCTTGGGGGAAGGACGACAGCTCACCCTCCCCCAGTGCGGAGCACAGACGGGGTTTACAGCCAGAGGCAGGCAGCTGTCATGGTGCTGTCGTCATCGGGGAAGCAGTGGGATTTCTGAGAAGGCCCCCAGGCCTGTGGAATTCCAGCAAGGGCCAGAGGTCAGGCTGCTTCCAGCAGAATTCAACTTCTTCACAATGCACAGAAACCAAAACAAGTTGGAAAGGTTCTGAGACCGGAGGTGGGATGCGGCAGGGCTGAATACCTGCTGGGGAAACAGTAACCCTGGAGGAAGCCCCTGCAAATGCTGAGAGGAGCCTTCAGGGAAGCAGAGCTGGAAAGCTGTGAGAACATGTAGGCGAAGCTGAGCCAGAGGAAGGAGAGAGCAAACTGAAGCCTTAAGACCCTGGTGGGTGGAGCTGAGGTGGCTTCTAGTATCTCCACTGCCCCCAGAGGTTCTACAGGAGATGTGCTGCTGTAGAACTTGGCTCGTTTGGGTTCCTGCTGAACAGATTCCACCACTAAAGCAAAGCATGAGGTCCACTACATGCTACTTCTGGCACAGCACCTGGGCCTCAAACATGTGCAGGGTAAACTGAGGAGCTCCACAAGAGGCAGGGACTCCTCCTCCAGCCACCCTGCCGGAAAGTGAGGCCAGCGGTTCAGCAAAGAGACCTCTCCTCCTCCAGCACCAGCAGAAGCAGGATTAGTGTCTCTCCTGCAGCCTTTGCAGATGGGATTGGGACTAGACTAGTCCTGATGGAAAGTATTCCCCATTTGACTGCAGCTGAGAGGGAAAGGACAGGAAATTCAGAGTAGGCTCAGGAGAACACACCACAGCTGCTGCATTAGCCATGCTCCACTCTCTGTCCTTTGATGGAAAAGAGGATAAGAAAAGTCCCTCTGACTTCCAGCCAAAAACTTCATCCATTTAAAAAAGGCAGAAGATACTTTGTTTGCAACCCACTGCCCCATCCACAGGCCTTGTACACAGAATCCTTGGATCCAGAGAACATATCCCACTCTCAAGGGAATCATTCCTATTTTAGGTTTGCTGCATTCAAGAGTCAGAGAGGTGCAAAGATGAGAAAGACGCAACCAGTTTGCCTTCTAAACGACCCAGATCTTAGATCTTATTCTTGACAGTTGCCCCATATTGTTATGTGGCATCAAATAGTTTTGAGTGGATGGACTTCCATCTTCTCCAGGACAACTGGTAAAGAACGACCCCTTCCCCTTCTTTCTTGCTGGCTCCACTTGCCTGTTAGGATGATGTGGCAGCACTTCAGTGTTTGGATGACATTGGATGCTTCTCACCATCAATCACAGCAGACATATACCTGAGAAGCCGTTAAATAGCTGGAACATTGCTGGCTTGGTGCCTCCATACTGAAGATTGAGTTAATGTAATCTAATCAACAGCAAGAAGCCATGGGGGAAGAAAAAGTCAGTGGCCTTGCTCAGATCTTAGCCAGCCTGAGAGAGCAGCGAGAAAGAGTGAGCGTTCACAAGTGAGAAAGAACAAGAATGCAAATCCCCCCCAGCTCTGTCAACAGCAGCTGCCTGCCTGGGGGATGAACGAAGATTCAAGCCAGCAATTAGGAGCTCTCTTTACCTAAGTATTGTCTGCTACCATTGGCAGCATGGAGAGAGAGAGAGAGAGAGAGGGGTAGGGATGGCAGAAGGAAGGGTTGGCAAATGCAGTGCTGCTGGGAGGAAATATAAACTTGCTTCAGGGACCAGTAGCTAAGGGCTAAGATTTTCAAGAGTGATTTTAGGTGCCCAACTTGAGACATCTTGAGGGGGCTTGATTTTCAAAGGGTGGAGGCTCACTGCTATCTCAAGGTGCCTCAAGTTGGACACCCAAACTAAAAAGTTACTCATCACTTTTGGAAGTTCTTGGCTAAAAATTGCTCAGCCATACTAAAAAAAACTAAAAATAAAAAAACCAAAACACCCACACCACTATGGCTAAAAGCAATGCCCGGCATCATCTGCTATGCTCCTGTCTGATCTCACAAACGGAGCAGGAACTGCTGGAATCAGTAGTTGAATGGGAGACGTCCAAAGTAGCTAGCAGGAAATGGTGCTGGTGAGTCTGTATCCACACCAAGCGAAGGGCCCATCGTGGCATTCGGAGTGCCCTGTGTGGTGCGAGGGCCTTTTGGAGAAGATGAGATCCTAGCCACTTGTGGTTACTGGAGAGCCAACAGCACTTTTTAACAGGAGCATTAACCCTATTGTCCTTGTCAAAAGGTTCATCCTGTCAAAATAAGTCCTGCAAATTTCAACTGTACTCTGCATTTTTCCACTTCTTTCCTAAACTACTGTATCATGATATCGCACACAGTTTAAAAGCTTCTGCATTTCTCCCCAGAGGTGGATGCATCTCTCTAGGCATTTCAAGAGCACCCATTAGCATTGTATCCAGGTGCCTGTGCGTAGTTTGCATTTCAGTCAGTAACTGTAGGAAGGAAGGAAGGAAGGCACTACACAGATGTAAGATTTAGTATTAACAATGTTGGTGTCTTGGTCACAGCCCCCAAAGGATGTCAGGGATGAGGATACATTTAGCACACCCCCCTTGAAATGGCCAGACACCATGACCACTTCCCAGTCTCAAGAAGTGCTTCACAGACAGTTCCTTGGCAGTCCTGCGAAAGCAAGAGGTGAAGAGATTTGCTGTAGCCCAGAGGAGGAGTCTGTGTCAGAGGCAGGATTGGACGCAGGCGTTCCAGGCTTACTGAATCCTGCACTCAGAGCACTAGCCAGGAGTAGTAGTACTGGAACAGCAGTTTGCATATATTTATGATAGGAAAATAGCCCAAAGGCAAGGGCTGGGTCAGGGGTAAACAGCAAGCAAGTCACTCTCACACCTTGGTAGGTTGGAGAACCCCGGTGTGCTTTAATAGTCCTCTTGGAGCCACATCCTCTGCTAGGGTAACCGCAGGCTCGGATGGGTCACCCCAGAGAATTTGGCCTCGGGTTTCTTACAGGGCAGAGGCCCCAGCCCCGGGAGCAGTACTGGCACTTGCTGTGGCTCTGGTGTAGACACAGGAGGCAGCACAAAGCCGCTGAGCTGAAGGAGCCGGAGAAGCAGGGGAGCAGTGGGGGGGCGGGGGCATTACCCCACTGCCTGGCGATCCCAGCTCTTCAGAGGAAAGCTGAGCTGCAGCCGGAAGGAGCCAGCATGGTCCCTGGGAGTGACGCCTCACAGATTAGAGAGGTATGTGGGCTGGAACCTAAACACAGGATGTGAAGCTCAGAGGAAGGGAAGGGGGAGGGGAGAAGGGAAGGGAGAGAGTGGAGGAGGATAGGCACAGTTAACCCTTTCATGCACTCGCACTGAGTGGTGCTGCTTAGTCAAGACTCTGCCTTATCTCCTGGTGATAGGGGCATGGCCTGCTTTGGACCTGAGAGCACTGAGGAGGATATTAACCCCTTCAAAATCCTACACGTGGGGAGCGATGGTGCCTCCAGTGCCAGGCAGCTACACTGTACAGAGTGCCACACAGGAAGGGAAGGGCACTAGCTCATGGCATCCCGCCGTCTTCTAACCCTGCACAGGCCCATGACCAGAACCCTGCCGCTGAGCCATGCCAATGTACTTCCCCAGCAGCAGAACAGTTCCTTCGGCCTACAGCTCCCCTGTCCTTCCCCCGGAGGCGCAATATAGGTGGAAGTGCCTGTCCAGCTTCCTTAAGTGCCGCAAGAGGTGTACATGTAGGTGGGGGGAAGGAGAGAGATGTTACAGCCACAGCTGCCCAATCCCCCAGGTCAAGGTTTACAGAGCAAGTCTCATGGGCTGACCGCACAGTGGAGCAACAGGGCTGAGGGGAAGGCAGGCTGCGGCTGTGGCCTTGTCTACACACCAAAGCTGCATTGATTTAACTGATTTGGTGTCTGACAATGTGGGCAAGCTGCAATCAAGAGCAGACACTCAGATTGGTTCAGGAGTCTCCACACCGGGGGGGGGGGGGAGGGGCAACTAATCTAGTTCAGTTTGGGCAATTCCTGTGTATGGATCAGCAGTACATTTGCTTCAAGCAACAGCTCTTAATCTGGACACCTAGAATTAGCACGAGAGAAAAAGAGAGAGATGAACAAAGGCAAACATCATCTAAAGACTGAGGTAAGTGTGTTAGTTTTGGGGGAAGCTCAGAGGTAGTCCAGGCCCAGCCTCTCAGAAGAGATGTTATATGTATCAGTGTACAGTATGTATGGGAGGAGCTTGCCACAGGCTCTAGAGCCAGACTCTCCCATCAGGGGGCGCTATGGGGAGCGGCATAGGAGGGTGGTGCTGTACGCAAGCCTTAGCCTCTTGGAGCAAAAAGTCAGTGGAGGATTGCTGGTCTGTAGGAGCTCTGAGGTGCCCTGCACCCAGCTTGAAGGAGGTGCTGTGTAGGAAGTGATGCACTAGCAGAAGAACAGAAGAGCCAATCTGAAAGGTTGCTGTGACCTGCAAGGCAGGAGTTGCATGCCGGATCAGGTGAGACCACACTCATCTCTCCTTCCCCTTCACTCACCTCTGCCTTGTACATGCGGATGAGACCCTGGTTCACTTTGGACCAGGAAGGTACAGCGCTGATGTTCCACAGCTGGTTGGAGTGTTCAGCGAAAGGGCCAGTCTTCATCTAAAACACAGAGGAAGAGAGCTAAGGGAGCCAAGCCAACAGGGAAGTTTGTGCACCATCCCAGTGACTCACAGTCACGCTCACTTCAACAAACATTCCTGCTGGGCTGTGTGACCCAAGCACCATCCATGTCACCGCGCCCTCCCCTCCTTCCTTCCACATGCCCTCCTGCAGCAGCACTACCACCCAAGGAGAGGGGTATCCCAGCCCCCCACACCCTGAAAGCGTTAAGCATTTTCTGCCCCACATTCTAGTCTAATCACATTTTTTCCTTCTCCTTGTATGAATTCATTAAAGAACAAACAGTCCAGCTCAGCGCTGCTCCCATTCTACCCAGAAACCTCCCCATGCAACACTGCTGCTGGGCTTTCCAAGAAAATGACTCATTCTCCATTCAGATCAACAACCAGCAGCAGCCACCACCACCGCCAACCGTGAATACAGAGGGCAACGCAGGTTGGCAGCAGTTCTTGCGCTTGGATCCAAACCCTGCACCTGCCATGAGCAGAGATGGGCTACAGGGGGTCTAGCAGTTCTTTCAAGTTCCTGCAGTTCACGTTGCTGGTGAAGCTGCAAGGCTCCACCTTACAGTAGACGCAGCAAACGGGCAATGGATTTAATTTTTTTTTTTTAACATAGCGTTTAATCATTGATGCTAGCTTCTTTCCAGAGATAGATTTTGGGGGGTGGGGTTAGGGGGAGCTAAACTCAGAGACAGCTGCCTCTAGATTATCCTATTGTTTGCCACTCTCCACCAACTAAACAGACCCTTAGGGAGAAAAAAATAATGCAGCCAATCTGACGGAGCGAAATTCTCATGACTTCATAAACCACAAGGCCAAAGCTCAGGCTAAAAAGGATCATGGGGAAATAAGAGTCTTTTTGACTATCATGATAGGAGCACCCTGGGTCTTCAAGAACTAACCCCCCCCCTCCCCCCAACACACACACACAGCAAGCAGGGAAAAGCGTTTATGCTTTTGAAGCTGCCTGCTGGAAAAAAGCTGATCAATCCATTTGTGAGAAACTGCTGCCCTTCTGCAGAGGCAAAGTGGCAGCAATTTACAAGGAAGAAGAGGGGAAAAAAAAATCACTCAGAGGACAACATTTAGACTCCATTGACCTCAGGGCTGAAGCATTGTGGGTAACGGTTCTGTAGTTCTGTCTGCTCTGAACAGCTGCGATGAGAACACAGATGAATTTCTGCTTCCTCTTTGCAGTTCTTCTGAGCTGGGGAATGACTGATGAGCCACTAAACCGTTCCTGCTCCCCTTCGTTTTGTGTGTGCGCGCACATGTTTTCCTTGCAGATACAAGATGAAACACACACAAAATTAAATGGAACTGGTGTGTTATTAAGCACAAAGCTTTGGCATCCCATCATGACCAGTGGGTGACTGAGAAGATGGTGCACGTCAGGGGGTTATACTGACGAGGTTTGGCACAGTCCAGCTGACATGCCCCAAGTCTCATGTGCTCGAGATGCACTGCAAGGCAGGTTTTAAAAGCATCTCTCCCTTTATGGAAGATTCTGCTGCATGCATTTCAGCGACAAGCCTCATTCTGTTCTCCAGTCCCTCCTTCGTTCAGATTGGCACAGCCCTGATCAACCCCTTTGGCTTTGCTCCTGGCCAGAAAGAGTTAAGGCAGATGGGAAGCTCTGAAAAAGCCGGTTAGGATGGCCAGACCCACGTTCAAGCCATACAGGATTTGGGCGCTTGGAGCACCTGACACATCTGTGACCACGGCCTTCCTAACCCGTGTCCGCTCCAGCAGAAGACTTTGCTATTGTTTCAAACTGGGGAGGGAGGGCAGAGAAGGAGAAAAAAAAAATTAGCTCATTTTAGCCACAAAGGGAGAAGAGAGAGAAAACGAGCGAGCTGGAGAGAGCGAGAGAGACAGCAAGAGCGCTGCAGTCCCGCAGTGACCCCAGGGGAATGTAGTGAGTCAGAGCAGCCATATTGAGCAGGAAATTACTCACAGACGCTGCGTTCCTGCCTCTCTGTTCCCAAGAGAATCAGCCTTTTGTAAATGGTTCCTCTGTCAGTAACTGGAGGGGGAGGGGGGGACGGCTCTGTGCAGTGCCTTCCTGTCAGTTCCTTCCCTTCCAGCTGAAACCTGAGCCCTCCCTTCCCAAACCTCCAAATTTAGAAGCCAGATTGAAACTGAAATTCTTCATTGCCTGCCCTTGGCTCTTAAAGGAACACAGCCCTGTTTTGTTCAGGCTTCAGCCCTCTGCACAGTTCAGCACACACACAATGCTTGGGCTTTTCCCCTATATATACACACACCGCAGTCCTACAGATTATACTGGAGATCTAACAAGGGACCAGCTTTATCTTTGTCTCTTGCAGAGGGCTCTGCATACTGTAGGCACCAGATAACTAACAGCATCGGAGAGACAAGGTGGGTGAGGTAATCTCTTTTATTGGACCAACTTCTGTTGGTGAGAGAGACAAGCTTTGGAGCCACACACAGCTCTTCTTCAGGTCTGCGTGGCTCAAAAGCTTGTGTCTCTCACCAACAGAAATTGGTCCAATAAAAGAGATTACCTCCCCCCCACCCCTTGCCTCTAATATCCTGGGACTGACACAACTACAACTACACTGCATACAACACCATTCAAAGCACCCAGAGATATCACAGCCCACCAGTGATTGGCGGGGGGGGGGGGGGGGAGAGATTATGCAACAGCAGATTATTTCTTCTGAAGGGTTTTTTGGTTGAGGAGAGGTGGGGGTGATGTTCTGATACTTGCTTTTTGCCATTCTCTTTTTAAACACTGCTGTTTGAACATGGAAGTTAAAACCAGAGAACGAGCCAGTCCTACAGGCCCGATTCAGTAGTAGTGATACAACGTTGCTGTGGCACATTTCACCCACTGTTACATACGTGAATAAAGCCTCACATTTTCCCACCCAGCACATCAGTGTTAATTCCATTTTACAGACAGGAAAATGGAGGCACAGATTTGTTCAGTTCATACTCTTTACATTGCACGGCACTTAGAGTTCCCTTGTCCTAGGCACTGTAGGAACACACAAAAAGAAACAGACCCTGCGCAGAAGATCCTGCAATCATTTTAAATTACTTGCCCTCGGTCACAGAGCCGGGGGGAGTGCGGGGAGGGAAATCCAGGATTCCTGACTCTCAGTCCCCTGCTCTAACCACTACACAACACTCTACTTCCCTTTACACACAGGGAACTCTTATTGAGGGACCAAAGCCATTTAGGAACCATCTTTCAAAGTCATCCTATAATTAGTTAACTTATGTAACATTTGCTGCAATACTCATATAGATTACAGGGAGCATTAAAGAAGAGTTTTAGTGGATTCAGATCAGACATTGTGTTACTGTTACTTTAACAGTTTGAGGTTTAATACACACACAAAAACAATGTAGTCTAGTATCTATATTACTGAAACATCACATACAGGCAAAGGAATAAAGAACTCAAAGAAAATACTGTATTTAAAAAAAAAAACACCACTGTAGTTGCTATTTTTTGAATGGTTCAAAAGCAAGGAATGATCCGATACCTATAAAATGCACTCAGTCTAGGCTATGTGTGTATGTAATGTTATTAAGGGAAAGCAGGCTTTCAATCAAGGGGATTCGAAGAAAAAAAAGCATTAAAGTAAGTTTTAAAACCTTTTTCCCTGTTATTTTGCCATGATATTTGTTGTTTGTTCAGCTTGTTGATTTAATGGACAGAAAGCTGGTATTAAAAGCTGTTATAGCTCCACCTAGTGGCAGTAGCAACCTCTCTCCATGAAACGAAACAATTACATTTCAAAAGATAAATCTGTTTGAAACAATATTTATGATAAAATATGGTTAAAATATCCCATGTTTGATAATTCAGCTTGTCCCAAGTCTTTATCTGCTCACCCAACAAGAACCCAGAGCAGCTTTATGTGCCACTAGGTGGCGCTATAGCAGCTAGACATGGTACTTTTAAAAATCCAGATTCCACCAGCTCCAATGAAATTTGTGGGACAAATATTTATTTATTTAACAAGAGCCAGAAAAAACTAATTTTTGCAAGGGAAAAAAAATGACTAAAGAAGTTTTAAAAATCCACTTCAACCTATCAAGTGTCATCTGTATTTTGCTTATAGTTTTTTATACCCGTGCACAGAAATGCGTATTTGTAATATACCCTCAATACAGGAACAAGTTACACATCCCAAAATTAAAATAAATCTTATGTTGGACCAACTTCTGCTGGAGAAAGACAAACTTTCAAGGTTACACAGAGCTCTTGAGGACCTGAAGACCACCTCTGTATGAGCTCAAAAGCTTGTCTCTTTCACCAACAGAAGTTGGTGCAATAAAAGATATTACCTCACTCACCTTGTCTCTCTAATATTCTAGGACCAACACAGCTACAACAACACTGTAAACAATAAATCTTACAGCATCTTGGCTTCAGCTTTCACTGAGCAGGAAGCACAAATAGATCCGCCCCAGACAATTTTTTTTTCTTTGGCATTATATAGTCGCATGTTCTCAATGATATTTGGTTTCCATTAGGTTATTTTTAAACTGCAAATCAAGGGTTAAATCCCAAGAGATGCTAAGCACCAGCAGCATCTGCTGGAATCAGTGGGAGTTCCAAGGGCCCAGCACCTCTCGGGATTTGGTTCAAAGGGAGCTATATGCCACTTTTAAGAATTCACTATACTGTTGATTATAGTGGGGTGGGTGTCATATCATGCGAACCTGTCTGTTTGATCACTAATTTAGCAAGAGGAGATAGAGAAAAAGGGGGCACAGAAGCATAGAATAGCAAGAAAAGAGTGGCACTGCATGCATAAAAATTGTGTCAGCCTCTATTTCTAGCAGGTTACCAGAAAAGCGATTGCTAACAGGAGTAGAGTGCACAGTCTTTGCTCTCCCCACCGAGACTTCATGGGAATGAGCACCGTAGACATGTCCAGCCAAGACTATTTGCAGTATTGTAGCCATGTTGGTTCCAGGATATTAGAGAAACAAAGTAGGTGAGGTAATATCTTTTATTGGACCAACTTCTGTTGGTGAAACATACAAGCTTTCAAGCTTCATAGAGCTCTCCTGCAGGTCCTTACACCTGGGGGAATTCTGTGCCACTGCACGTGCACAGAATTCATGTCCCCTGCAGATTTCTTTGCTTCCCCGCAGAAAAATGACTTTCAGATAGGGAAGCAAAGGGAAGCTGAATCACCCCATAGCTGCGCAGGTACATTGTTTCAGGCACCCAGAGCAGCTGGCAGAGAGATAAATCAGTGCAGGGCTGGGGACACTCCAGTCAGTGGCTCCTACCCTGAGCCCGGATCAGCGGCTGGGCTGGAGTCAGGAGAGGATGGGACTTCCTCTTCCCTGCAAAGAGTGTCAGACCCACCTCCAGAAACCTCCCCCAGCTGCAGAAGAGCTCAGCATCTTCCCCTGCTTCCTGTCCCCATCACTCCTCAGCTGTGGGGGGAAGGGTTACTGTACGGGGAATTGCTCCTCCGTCCGCCCAACCCCCATGCATCTGGACCTCCGATACCCAGACACCCCTGCCAAGCCTCACCCCGTATGGCCTGAACCCCCCAGCCCTCCATACCTCAACCCCACCCTACTGAACCTCAACCCCTATATTTGGAGCCCCCTGCACCTAGAACCCCTGCCTCCAGACCACCCTCCACTGAGCTCCTTGCACTCAAACCCCCACCCTGACAAGCCCCACCCTGAGCCCCCTCATCCAGACCCCCATACCATTGACTCCCAACTAGCTGCACCCAGACCTCCACCCCACCAAGCCCCACTCCCCCAGCTGCACCCAGACCCCCCTGACGAGATCCCCACACCCAGACCCCTCTACTGAACCCCAACCACCTTCACCTGGAATCCCCTGCAGAGTCCCATTGCCCCTGCACCTGGAACCCCTGCAATGAGCCTCTGTGCATCCAGATTCCCCCCACACCTAAATCCCCCGCTGAGCTGCCTTCACACAGATTGTCCCACACAGAATCCTCTCACCTGACACCTGGATGCCCCCAACACTGAGCCCCTCCACACTTGGATCCTGCCTAGTTGAACCTGCCTGCCCCACACCTGGTATGCCTGGGGCAGAAGGGCAGGGCCCTATGGTGTTTCTGGGGCAGGCCCAGACCTTGTGCTGTGTCAGGGTTGGATACAACCTCACCACTGAGTCCATGTCCTAGGGTGGGAGTGGGGAGGCTGCAGGGTGGTCTCCCACCTTTGTGCACCCAGTGACCTATGCTCCCCACTGCCATGCTGCAGCCTCTGCATTTATTTATTGACAAATACAACTTGCAGAATTTTAAAATCTTGTGCGCAGAATTTTTAATTTTTTGGCACAGAATTTTTAAATTTTTGGCACAGAATGCACTCAGGAGTAGCAGGTCTAACACTCTGGTTACCTTCCCCAGATCTGAAGAAGAGGTCTGTGAAGCTCAAAAGCTGGTACCTTTCTACCAAGAGAAGTTGGTCCAATAAAAGCTACTACCTCACCTACCTTCTCTCAGCCTAGTCAGACAAGCCACTCACACCATGTGGCTGCAGACAGGAGGCAGTAAGCACCATTGTTTAGAAACAGTGCCCTCTAGTGAAGATACACTGGATGTTACCATAGAGGGGCTTTGCCAAACCTTTTGCCAGCATTATTTCCCCCATCCCAAGATTCCATGATACACTTTAATGAGGACATGGTTCTGGACGCGTTACCAGCGAGGGACATCTCCCCTCACTAGTTCACAAGAATGGATATTTAATAAGTATCTTTTACCACAGAGAACCAATGGCCAGGCTGAGATTTGGAGCAACCCAGGCTCTGTGGTGGGTTAGGGGCACACACAGGTGACCCAGATGCACTATGGCCCTGCCAAAAGGCTTATTGCTGAGAGAGGGATAGCTTGGAGTACCAGACCTGACTGAACAAGGAACACCAGCCATTTCTCGCACACGTGTTCTGAAATCACATACCCCTTGTCTTATCCAAAAAGGTGTCCAAGGCGATCTATCTGCTTTATTTACCACCCCGGCAAACCCCACTAAATCACCCATATCTACCTCCCATGCAGCTTCATCACATTCACTCTCAACATCCCTGCCGAACTCATTCAAGAGGAGAGTCAGGGGCTTGTACAAAGGCTCAGCCACATGTTCCACAAAGATGAACCAAAATACAAAAGGAAGAGAAAGCCACCCAATAATCCAATCGCAAGAGAACCCAATGCAGCTGAGAAGTCTCTCGATGGGGTAAGTATCCCCACCCTCACCTCTGTAATGAACAGGATGCACTCCAGGAACATGTAGTCCTTATGGTTTTCATTCACCACCTTCTCGTCAACAAAGTGCCGAGGTTCCAGGTTTGGGTGTTCTGAAAAAAAATTCAGATGTCAAACCACCTGGTCTCTTCCTGCTCCAGCCCCTCATTATAGACACAATCCACTTCAATACCTTCCGGTGAGTTAGAGACAGAAGTTTCATACTAGGTCACCTAACACAAGGGTCAGTGAAGGATTGGTTCCTACCGACCATACATTGCATAGGGCTTTATCCAGTGGAGTTTAAATGTCTCCATAGATGGGACTTTCACACATTTCCCTCAGGAGACACTTTCACAGGTTTCCTGGTGTGTGACCTGTCTTAATTTCATCCTTTCATTGTGCCACCCTCTGTCATCTGTCTCCCCTCCTTGACGTTTGTACCATTAAAATACTGGTAGGTTCAGGAGCCCATAGCCCTCAGCTAGCAAAGCTACATACACATTCAGTCCTTTTAATCTTTCACCAGCCTGTTAACCAGGTTGGTTGCTCTCCTCCAAGGCTCTTCTCTGTTTGTCTACATCTGTCTGGTAAACGAGCAAACATTGATTTCTAAAGTATTCCCTCAGACCTCTTTTTGGCTTTTGTATATGCCCATGCAGCCAGTTTTCCATCCATTCTGTATTGTTTCCAGCCAAGACAACATAAGTTACGAGATTTCCTGACACACATTACCAAAATCAAGTTATATTACAACTACTCCATTCCTTTCACCCACTGATTTTGAAATTCAAAAATGTAACATTTGGTCCTTATAAACCCATGACTTCATTGGTCACAGCTTTTTATCCCCTAAACACTTACAGATACTCTCTTCTTAAAGTTCGCTCCATTATTTTACTAGAGACTGAAGTGGAATTTACTGGATGTTAATTGTCAGGCTCAGATCATTCTTCCTTGCTAGAGGCCATATTTCTAACCCTAAACTCTAAGAAAGCGATGCACTAGGTTCACTGACTTTGTCTCTAGACCCAAGTCAATAGGATTAGTTGTGATGTCCTGGGTCTTTAACCCAGGTCTGGGAGTCCCCAGACAGCTGTCACATCCTGGCCTTCACCCAATAGCTACTGAAACCAGGTGGGCTGAGACACTACTAGGGCGATAGCCCCAGCCAAGGCACCACCCACAGGAGCTCTGATTGGAAGATGGCCCAGCTGCACCGACAGGTCCAACTACGCTATTTAAGCCAGGAATAGGAACAGGAAGTTTGTCCACGTAACAAGGTGGTTTTCTGTTGTGCCTGCCTTGGAGCCTCGTGTCTACTCCTGCACTCAACTCTGTTCCTATTCTGCTCCCGGCTCCTCCCTTACCTCTGCCTTCACTCCTGTTCCCACAGTGCTTGATCCTGGCCTCTCCTCCTGCCCTTATGCCTCACCGCCAATCCTCAGTGACCAATCCTGGTTCTGAATCCAGCCTCTGACTTGACCCTGATTCCAGCTTGACCCTTGGTTCTGGCATTTTGCATCTGACCTCAGCTCTGACCCTCAGCTTTGATTCCTGGTTCCGATTCTGGCTTGACCTCAAGCTCTGGTAACTGGCAGTTGACTCTGTTGCTGACCCTCGGCTTCATTCCCCAAACTGTATGCCTGCTCCGCCCACTAGACCTGACCAGCTATGTCCCGGTCCATAACATTTGTGCAATGAACAATATGATGAGGGCTCCTATCTATGTATCAATGGTATCTCGCAGCACAGCTCCAAAGCAGAATTATCCTATGGACCAGCCAGTGCATTGTGTCAGTTGCATGCTGCCTGTTGTGATCAGTCTAGAGTATGCATTATTTTTTGTTTACAGTAGCACCTAGAGGTCCCTGCTGAAATCAGTGCCCGCTTGTGCTAGGTGTCACACACACCCATTAAGTCAGAGGTGGGCAAACTACGGCCCGCAGGACCCTCCTCCCTGGCCCCTGAGCTCCTGGCCTGGGAGGCTTGCCCCCGGCCCCTCCCTCGCTGTTCCCCCTCCCCTGCAGCCTCAGCTCACTGCGCCGCTGGCGCAATGCTCTGGGCAGCAGGGCTCTTGCAGAGCTGCGGCCTGTCCTAGTGCTCTGGGTGGCGCAGCTGTAGCACCACCAGCACTCCAGGCAGCGCGGAAAGGGGGCAGGGAGCAGGGGGGTTGGATAGAGGGCAGGGGAGTTCAGGGTGGTGGTCAGGGGTGTGGATAGGGGTCGGAGCGATCAGAGGGCAGGGAACAGGGGGTTGAATGGGGGCAGGGGTCCCGGGGGAGCAGTCAAGGGCAGGGGTTCCGGAGGCAGTCAGGGGACAGGGAGAAAGGGGTGGTTGGGTGGGGCAGGGATCCCAGGGGGGCAGTCAGGAATGAGAGGAGGGGTTGGATTGAGGGTGGGGGGGTGGGCAGGAATCCCAGGGGGACCGTCAGGGGGCAAGAAGCAGGAGGGGTTGGATAGGGGGTAGGGACCAGGCCCTTCATACAATTTCAGAAACCCAATGTGGCCTTCAGGCCAAAAGGTTTGCCCGCCCCTGCATTAAGTCCTTGCCTCAAATAGTTTACTATCTAAACAGACAGAACAAAGGAAGTGTGCCCATTTTACAGATAGGGAAATGAAGCCCAGAGATATTAAGTGACTTGCCCAAGGTGGCCCCAGAGTCTATGGCAGAGCTGGAAATTAAACCCAATCTGAGTCCCAGCCCAGTGCCTTCACAGTAAGAGCAGACTGTAAGCCACTCAGGGCAAAAACTTTAGTTTTCAGCATCAAAATACACCCAGGAGTCTCAATAAAAAACAGGTGTACTTTAAGGTGTTTCAACATTTCCACTGTAACCCTCCTTTTTCACAGTCTGACCAACTGGCTTATTTTGAAAGCAGAGAACAAAAATTCTTAACTTCAAGCAAACTTTTCAAATCAGCTTTTTTTAAGTCACACTTAGCTAGAAAAAAAAATATCCCAAACCACTGATGATCTTCACAGTGAAGGACAGAAGGGGAAAGAGACCAACGTTTTGTAGGTGCGTTAGTACCTATCAGTTGGGAACTGCCCCATATGAAGGGCAGAAACTGGAAGTCATCCAGGCCCCAAACTCCCTGGCTACCAGCTGGTTCCATCCTGTAAGTTTTCTGGAGTTTCCGCATCACCTCCAGGTACCTAAGATAGAGAAGAAAGGGAAGGGCTAAATAAGACATCAGGTGTAAAGGCTCAAGGCCTCTCCTCCCTGCTGCAACAATGGTGGGTTTCCAATCAGAAAACCCATCTACATATACAGGAGAGAACCAGATGCCCCAAGCTCCTTCTCTCTGGACGCAGCACAAGCACGTGATCCAGTCCAACAGCCTACTGGCTGAGTGAGCATCAGGAGTCCAGGCTGGAGGAGAAACAAATGACAACAAACCATTTGTGAAAGGCAGAGGTTTGACTCAGTCTGGTTCACAGCAGGGTTAAGTTTACAGCTATCTGATATTGGCTTTCTTGTACCAAATTTCTACCTCTTGGTTAACCAGAGGACAGGATACACTAGTATAAATAAACCTGCCCTACTCATGTTACCCAGACAGCCCCTGCTTAGGAGGAAGAGGTATCCAGAGCCTATTTTGGTCATTCAACTATACATAAGAGGCTAAGCAGGGAAATCAAGGAACAGCACTTTGCCCAGAGGAGATAATGTAAGTGGGTGATGGTGACAGCATAAAAGGCAGCAGAGTGCCCAAACCTTTTGATGAAGATAGACCTAGTACCTGTGGATGACAACTCTGACTCACCGCAGAACATATTCCATCATGCCCATCACTCTGTATCCGCTCTCTGTGCCCATTTGTAAGGGGACAAGAGGGAGTACGCTTTTAAAGGTGCTCCTTACAGACCAGGATCAGAACCCTGGATCTAGGACTCGCATACAGCGCCCTGCATATAACGCTGCATGCTCGATAAATGTTCTGCCACAAGACTATAGAGAAAATTGGGCCTGATCGTAGATTTAATGGCAAACACAGCACTGAGGTTTTTACTGAAGTCAATATAAAAAAAAAGGGAGCAGCAGCTTTTGAACACCATCCCTGTGTATTTTACTTTGCTGCAAAATTTTTCTGTTGCCTGATAACAATGACACTTCCCCCCACCCCCCAGCTCTTTTCATCAGAGGATCGCAAAGCACTTTACAAATATCCCTGATTTCAGAGTAACAGCCGTGTTAGTCTGTATCCGCAAAAAGAAGAACAGGAGTACTTGTGGCACCTTAGAGACTAACAAATTTATTAGAGCATAAGCTTTCACAACAGTCCCTGTGAGGGAGGATTGATCATCCCCACTTTACAGATGGGGAAAGTGAAGCGCAGAGAGGAGAAGCGACTTGCCCAAGTTCACACAGCAAGTCAGTGGCAAAATTGAGATTAGAATGTAGGCGTCCCAATGGCCAGTTCTCTGCTTGCACCACTACAAACCCCACCTCCTGCATTGTGGCAGCTCTCAAGAGGAGCTATGGAGGGCTTGCAGGTTCACAGACTGAAAGGTCAGAGGATACCATTAGATCGTCTAGTCTGATCTCCTGCGTAACACAAGCCACAGAATTTCATCCAGTTACCCCTATATTGAGCCTAATAATTTGTACTGACTACCCTGTATCTTCCAGAAAGCCATCCAGTCTGGACCTGAAGCCATTAAGAGATGGAGAATCCACCACTGCCCTTGGTAGTTTCTTCCACTAGTTAATCTCCCCACTTGTTAAAAAAATTATCCTTTATTTGTAATTTGAATGTGTCTGGCTTTACCTTGAGTCATTGGTTCTTATTATACCTTTATCCACTAAGTTGGAGAGCCCATTAGCAGCTGGTACATTTTCTCCATGAAGGTATATATACACAGTGATCACATCACCTCTTGTCTTGGATTTGGGGTGGGGACACATCAATTACTGTCCCTCAGGCAGTGTGACAACACAAAGGGTGTGGGGGCACATTATGACCAGACAGTAGCGAGAATTAGGTGTGGTGGACTGACGGTTGCAGGCCACATGCTTTATGACCAGTGAATCACAGACAGATTTGAGGGGAAAATGCCCTAGGAACAGCTCCACCTCACCTGTACTTGCATTGCCTTACCGGTTAAACACTTTGAAGACAATGGCCAGCTGGTCATCCACCCTGAGAACACCAATTTTACACAGGCAACAGAGGAAGGCAGCGAATGCCGCTTCGTGACCTGGGATTGAAGAAAAGGAGACAGACAAAACATTGGTAATTCCCATCACAGATAAGCTCCCTGCAGGTGCTACAATGGCTCTTTGGAGGACACAGCAATCACATCCCCATGAGCGGCAGAGCCCCAATCAACAAAGGCTCCTTCTTACTTGGATAAGATCACAAAAAAGACTCCTTCTATTATTGACACCCAACAATAATATTTCATACCTACATAGCACCTGCTATCCAAGGATCTCACAGTGCTTCACATCCATTAACAAATTAAACACGTACCCTTGTGAAGTAGCGAAGGATTAGTCCCATCTGTAAAATGGGAAAACTGAGACACAGGACAGTTATGTGACTTGACCAAGACCACACAGTGACTCAGTGGCAGGATTCAGAAGCCCTGAATCTAGTCCAGAAATTGAATCACTAAACAACACTTCTCTTGCACCCACACATGAACACCCTCTCTGTTCATATTTAGGGAATTAAGATGTCAGTTTCATCTCTCAGAGTGGCAGCCGTGTTAGTCTGTATCAGCAAAAACAACGAGGAGTCCTTGTGGCACCTTAGAGACTAACAAATTTATTTACCTGCAGAATGAAATATTTTGAGAGCCAGGCACTGAGACTGGAGTGTTGGGGCAACTCCCTTTCTTATGAGCTGATCAAGAGGATGGGGGAGCCGGAGAATTCCAGAATAACCCAGCGAGGGATGTGCGTGTTTGGGGGTGGACACAAACACTCATTAGCAATTAAACAGATTTCCTCCTACTTTCAAAAGGCCCTATGTCAGAGGGACATTAGCCCTGCTCCACCCCAGGGAAATGCACCGCCCTAAGGTGCCCAACTGTCAGCCATGGCCCACCCGCTCTATGCAGCTTTGTCCTCTGGCTAACAGTGAAGAGAGCAGAATAAATGCAGCACTCAGAAAAGCCCATAAGATATTGGGGCTGGTTGCAGAAAGGTGCTTTTATTTCCCGTTGGGTGGGAGAAACTACGGCAATAAAGAGAGTAAATAAAGGAAGCGGCTCCGCTTTATAAAGCCGTGCAGTTGCTGGGATATGAACAAGCTGCACCTAAGGTCTAGCTGTGCTGAGCTGAAAGAATACAGAACCCAATGCTCAAGACAGAGGAGTGGTGGAGAGACTGGATTTCCCTCACCAAGCTGCAACTGACTGACTAAGTCAACAGGTCCATTACCAAAGGCAACATCTCCCCCTGGCGATCAAGAGCTGCAGCACAGCTGGTGAGGAGATTTGCATACCTGTGCTTCTTCATCTCTTTACCTCAAATCTCCTCCTCTCCTTACCCAGCACATTACAGAGGTCACATATTTCAGGCTCCTGGCATGCTACAATGACCCTCACTCCAGCTATCTGATTAAGTCATTAGCTGGACATTCCTCTCCGAGCCCTCTTCCTCCAATACATACAGGTGGGACTCCTTGGAATTTCAGGGTCTGCTCTCATACTGATTTAAATCCAAAGTAACCTAACTAAAGCCCCAATGGAATTACTCCAGTTTTTGATTCTGACATTTCTCCCTGGGCCCGATTCTGCTCTCACACTAAGTCTTAAAGGTGCTATGTGGTATTTATGCCACACGTAGCAAACATTTGTGGCCACTTACGATCTGAAGACACTTCTCACAGAGTATGAATATTAATTCATTTCCTGATCTGATTCCAATCCAAGATATTACATTTTAGCTCCTTAAACTGCCCCTTGGGATTCAGCTGCACACAATACTCCATATACACTTCCTGTTCTACACCATCACGCAGTGTAGCTGTGCGCTGTTAAACAGCTCCCATGGTACACGCCAGAAGTGACAGCATTTCAATAGTGGTTGCAATGGTCAATTAATGTTTCTAGAGCACTTTGACCTCCTTGGATGAAAGATGTTATAGGGAAGCTAAGAATACTTATTTTGAAAAACTTAAGATGACTAGGACTGAAGTGGAGGCAGCCAAGAATCTACATCAATCACAGCTCTGGTATAATCAGATTCTGATCCCCTGCTCTCTCCTGGCCAGTTTTAGCCTTGGCGTGATCCAGAGCAGTTCCCTGCAATGGCATATATTGACTGTAGGGGTGAATTCACGCTGGGGAATCGAAGCCCAGCAAGGCTAGATGAATTAAGCGTGCACGTGAAGGTACCTGTCCCATAGTCGATGCGGGTGGAGTTCCCCACGGATTCCTTCAGGTATAAGGCTACCTCTGGTGCAGCTTCAGCCAGATACTCAGGGACCACTGTTTTAACCAAGTTTTCTGCTTCCTTAAACACAACAACAAAAGGTTCCTGAGCGTTAACCTAGATGTGCCACAAGCCAAAAGATGGGTACAAAGCACCACCAACACCCTCGCTATTGGTTGGAGTTGGTTTTGCATGGAGCGAGCCACCCCCTCCAACAAACCAGATTGATTAGGGGAAAATAAGGAACTCCAACATTATTCAAAAGCACCTGTTACAGGCCAATATAAGGAGCAGCATTAATTGTCTCCAAGCTAGTGAATCTGTAGGTCACCAGTTGGGGTGGCAGAGATTTAGTCAGAGAGAGTGGCTTATTCCCCTGCCTGCTGTAAGGGCTTCTTCCACTTAAAAAGCATCCATCCTGATAAGCCATTGATACAGACGCCCCACTTGTTGACAGTCTCAGTAGAGCGCCCCAGGCTTAGATGACCTGGCGAGTGAATTCCCCTACAGTCACTGGAGGTGGTCTCTCCAGGGCAGGATTGCGGCATGCCGGGGAGCAGTGTGCGGAGCGCTTACCCAGTCACTGCCTGGCCTGTATCTTTTTTTGGAGAGAGAGGACGTCAGTCTCCAAAGCCATCCACCTAGTACCTTTTGCTGGCACTCAGTGCCCTGGAAACGAAACTTTAACAAACTGCAACGCAGTGTATCTATGGGCCCAGAAGGAGCCCATGGGTAAATGCGCTGCAGCCTACTACAGTGCACTCTGCCTCCACGAGCTCCATGGAGCCTTATCTGGGGTGAGCCCTCTCAGCTGAGGCAGGCCAAGCTATGCCATGGGCCATCACGTGCCTGCTCCCATCTGCCATATCCACAGGCAGGTGGACACAATGGCTGGTTAACAAAGGAGAGCAGTCAGTGAAGCTCCTTGGGATTACCTCCAGGGGACAAAGACCCTGTCAAAGAGCATGTAAAGGTGAGCTGTGCTCCCATGGGGGTTCAAGACCAGCACCAGACCTGAGATCAAAAGACCTGAAACATAGTCCCCACCTAACTCTGCAAGTTGGTGGGTCAATCTAATGACTGCCCAGGTACAACAGGAGGATGGCAGCCTTTCCATGATTATTGCAGGACATACTTCTTGCTGATGAAGCAACCATTTTAAGTCCACCATCTAAGAGTCTCTCTCCCAACCCCTACATACCTGGTCTAGTTTGGCGTACCAAGTCCTGAAGGCCTTATTCCCAAAGCGAGAGGGCTGGTTCACTGGCGGGGTCTCATCAATCCACCTGTCGAGGGTATCCAGGAGCTCCATCAGCTTTTCAATTGGCTACGGGGACAGAATGGGTGACAGCTCACAATCAGACAGGAGAAGAAAGTCTCACACACAAGCATAAGCCAGTCACCCTAAAACCATTGCCCCAGGCTCCAGCATTTCTGTTTTACCTGCACCTGCCAGTGTTCTCCTGGCATTGAGTCGCAGACTCCCAAACGGACCTTGCAAGGGATGGAAGGGGATAATGGGTCACACGTGATCTCTCTAAGGTCCACAGTGGCCAGCCCTAACCCTTCACATCAGGAAAGGACAGTCCAGTCCGAAAGACAACAGCCCACATCCCATACTGACCTGGGCTTTCCGAGAGCCCAGATACAGCCACTCATTAACAGCAGCTTGAGAAGGCAGACATCTCTTCCAGGGACTCAAAGACCCACGTACAATGCAATACTACGGCCACATAAGATGCTCTATTGTTGCAGGTTTTTTAAATGGTCACATAACTGTGCTCCAGAGTCTAAGATCTCATCTTAAAAAAGGAAGTCCCTAGCCTGAATTCTTGCAAAGAGAACCTGACCAAACCAGGGGAGGGAGGAGTAGGTTGGGGGGTAGGGCCACATCATTCAGGGGTCTCTGACACGCAGTGGTGGGCTCTGCACCACACACTTTAGATCTAATGTTCCCCACAGGACACATTATACTGTTTAGAAAGGACCCTGACTGCTGCTGCCCTTCTGGCTGACCGTGGTCAAGTCACTTCGGCCCAGATCCTCAAAGGGATTTAGGTTTCTAACTCCAAATGATTTCAATAGGAGTTAAACACCTAAATACCTTTGAGAACTGGGGTCGCTGTTTCCCCGCTACTCTTTGTCTGTCCTGTCTATTTAGATTGTAAGCTCTTTGGGGCAGAGAGACTCTCTTACTAGGTGTTTACACGATGCCTAGCACTAAGGGGCCCCAACCTCGATCAGGACCTCCACCTAATACTCGTCATAGTCTGATTTCCAGAGGTATCAATCCTCTCTGCAAATCGGACGATCAGTGCACATGGCACTTCACAAACGCGCACATACGAGATACAGTCGCCACCCAGAAGAGCTAACAGTCTCACTCATGCAAAGATGGATTCCCAGGAGAGGGAGGGAAAGCGGTTGGCGCAGAGGGGGACAGGAAGCATTCCAAAGAGGAGGGAGGTGTGACGGATGGCATGACGCTGAGAATGGAAGACTATGATGAAGGAGCAGAGAGATGCCACCGAGGAGCAAGAAAGGCAGAGGTGTCCAGCCCCTTGAAGGTAGAGATGAGGAGCTTGATTTTGATGTGGGGAGAGAGAGAGAGAGGCAGCCTGGGAAGGGGTTAAAGGAGGGGCTGACACAGCCAGAGCAAAGGGAGAGCAGGATTCTAAGTAATGGGGAGCCTTGGGCGAGAGAGACGACTCCGGGGGGCAGAGACTGGCAAGCAATACAGAGCATGGTTCAACACTGCGCGGCTACATGCAGCCTGCTGGAGAGGCTTTAGGGTTTGAGCCCAGGACATGCAAACGCCCCCTGGGCCCAGACCTGAGGCCCTCTGGGGGCAGCCACTACGGCCCCGGTTCAGTTGCAAAGCAGAAACGTAGTGACAGGATCATCGTCCAAACCCCAACCAGTGGATTAAGCCGCAGAAGGCAGCACTAGGAGGCCCCACTAACAACTGTGAGATATTTTCACCTGCCAACACATTCGGGATTCTCCACTCCCGAGTCGGAGCAGCCAGAACCACATTGGTCACCACGGCGGCCGGCTGGGCCCTGGGCAACAGAGGCACCACGGTCTCAATAAGGGATTCCTCCTTCAAGGAGAGAAAGAGGACAGATGAGGCAGGGGCTGGTTTGACTTTGCTGGAGGCATCGACCATGTGAAGCCGGCTGGTCTCCTGGGCTGTGGTTCAATTCTTCATGCTGCCTGTCAGAACAGGACTAGGAAACAGCAGAGCCTAGCAAGTTTCTAGCCCTTGAAGCGCCACTGGAGGGGCGGGGGAGGAGAGACGGGCAGGCAGCGCTTTTCTGCCTTTGAACCAGCAGCAAGTCTCCCTCCCCCCCCACTGCAGGGAGGTCTTTCGTGACATCTGCAGCTAGCTGAGCGGGTGCCTCTCCAGACACTGGCTCCGGAGGGGCTGCTGGAAACAAGTGAGGGTGCATCAGAGAGTCATACAGCAGGAATCTAGGATTTATCTGCTGCAAAAGGAGCCCCAAATCCAGACCAGTGAAGGGGTCTAAAGAGGATGGCTGTGATTGGTGGGTGGGCAAGAACAGATTAAAGCAGGGAAAGCTCAGGGGGGACCCTAAGCACAGCATCTGCAGATGCACTGGGGAAGACGACAGGCCACATGCAACCTGGGAGCCACTGTAAGATCACAGGCTGGAATCAGCGACAGGGCAGCACCCGTGACTCAAGCAAAGTGGAACAAGACTATTATTGATTATCTGTATTGCGGTGTTGGAGCCCCCGTCGTCGTTCAGAACCCCATGGTGCTAGGCACTGTACAAATCCAGAACACAGAGACAGGCCCTTCCCCAATGGGGTTGGGCTTGGTTTTCAGCTCAGCCCGACCTGGCTACCACACTCCCCTCCAATTAACAACAGAGGCCCCGGCAGTGGCTTTTGTTAAATAATTAAATAACGCCAGTGATTTATCCGCCAGCAGCAGCAGCAGCTCATTACGAGCAGCTCCCGTATTTCAAACCCTCTCACCGAGCCGTGACTGCGGCGCTCGGTGCCGGCTGGATAAATGGCTGGCAAGAGATTTTCTTCTTTTGTCCCCCTTGCAGTCTCTGCCTCCAGGCCTCAGGGAGGAGAGGCAGAGTCACGCCTCCCTTCCTCACTCGAGGGCTTTAAAGGGATTAAAACCAGCCCAGCTGAACGCAGGAGAGCGGGACCCAGCTGCTGGCTTAGCCATGCCAATAAATAATTAAAGAGACGCAGCTCATTTTGGGCTCGGGGCCCTTTGAACGGGGGCTTATTGAAAGGGGCAGGTTTCCATTGCCCAGCAGAATTAACATGGCAGAGGAAACTCATGCTGCCAGGGGTGAACCCAGCCCGGGGAAACAGCAGGGCTCACAGGAACTCAGCAATCAGAACCACTGCAGCATGGTCTTGGGTGGCTAAGTTTTTAGGCTCTATTTTTACTTTACCTTCCCAGGCATCAGAGCAAGGGCAAATCCTCCCCCTTCCCCCGCCACCGCTCTTCTTTCTGTTGTGCTGATTTTGCAGCCTGTCGCCCTCCCAGACCAAAATCTGCCCTGTGATCACAAAGGTGAACCCTGTAGCCTCCTATAGAACAGTGACCTGACAGCGTCTCTCGTGAGCATCAGCCGGCCAACTGGAGGCGATGAGATGGCAAATGTCCCCTCTAGAGCCCGAGGAGTCAGGTACCTTGGTGTCAAAAGTGACTGCCTCTTTCCCACCCTTCCCCCCTAGAATCCAAGCACGTCAGCCCAGAGCTGGGTGACAGCCACTCAAGTGCAGGAGATTCCCAAATACAAGATGGAAGTGGGCAAACACCATAAAAATAAATGATCTGGAATCACAGGGACTATTTAAAGGGTCTGAGACCTCTCTGCAGGCTGCATGTTCTCTTGCCCCAATTCTGCTCACTTGGAAGCTCAAAATTAACCCTTTCCCGCCACATTAGACATGCATGCCAAAGCCACAGCTGTTACTACAGACTGGCCTGGGAGACAGCTCCAGGAACATCTCCCAGCAAGCAGCCAGACACTCAGACTCCACTGTGGGAGCCATACGCAGCCCACAGGCAGATGCTCAGCCCTCTTATTTATTAAGTGCAGCCTGTGTGTTCAGTGCAATACCAACACCCAGGCCGGTGCCACAGAGGTTACAGTCTGAAGGTCTGGCCCTGCCAGGTGGATCAGCACCTCCTGAGAGGCCTGGAGTGCACTCAGCCACCAGTGACTTCATTTGATTTCAACAGGAGCTAAGCATGCTCACACATTAAGTGTGCTCACTTTGCAGGATCACATCCTAAGTTAGACACGTGGCAGGGTTAAGACACTCAATATCCTGGAGACCATTGGGTGGTCTGGTCTCTCCTCTCCCATTACTCCTTTCTTTGGAGAACCAACAAGTGATCAATCGCAAGGAGGATGTGCATGTAAAGGAGGGATTTGAGGGAGTGTTAGGTGCAGGCAGGAGTTCCAAGGAAGGTATAAAGATGCAGAAGGAACCTCAGCAGGGAGTAGGGAAGCACGAAGAAAATGGATGCAGCCTCATCAACAGGGCAACCCATTGGACCTTCCACCCCAGAGTAAGGCAGATACATTTTGCCTTCAGTCACAGGTTTCTACCCTGCTCAGCATGAAGGCAGCAAGATAGGTTTCCTACGACATCACATTTGGTTTTGTCACTTGCACTGAAACCATTTCAAGGGGATCTGCCAAGAGGGGGGGAAAAACGCATTCATGCTTTTTCTGCTTCTTTATGATGGTTAAAGGCCTGAAAGCGTGGGCGGCTGGGACTTAAAGTTATTATTCTGATTGTTTTAAACATTAGAAATTCAGGTCTTGCTACCCTCTTTTCCCTGTAAGACTCTAGTGATGACTGGAGACCAACAGGATTATGACAGAGGCACACTGTGCAGGCAAACCCTGAACAACTGAAAGGGGGAATGGTTTTTATTCAGACTGTTTAAAATGGGATTTTGGCAGCTACTATTTAACCAAATGCCTGAACAAAAGTTGGAAGAAAAGTGCTTTTGGTAGAGATTCCACAGCCCTGTTCTTTCAGCAAAGGGCGAGTGAGTTTCTAAGCCACATGTCCAGCTCCTCAAGGGAAATCTCCCCAGAACACAGATGGCCAGCCCGGGCATGCCTGATACCTCTAACAAAAAAAAAAAAAACATTTTGAAAAAAACCCTTCCTTCCAGGCCGCCTCCTTTTCCCCCCAGAAAGCCGCAGCCAGACAGGGCACAAGTCCATTCCTCCCTCTGCCACTTGCAGGTCTCCTTTAAGCAGCCCCATCAACCTGCATAGTTGTGACTGGTTATAATTGGAAAGAGCTAAGAGGGTCCCTAGAAATTCTCTTAGTCACTCTGCACTGGACAGTCCAGTGCTGCTTGAAGGATGAGGAGTTCAGTGACTGACATAATAACCGCAGGTCAGTGCTATACCACTGCTTACTTTGGAATAATGACGGAAACATGACAAGTTCCAGGGGGTAATGCGCACGAAGAGGAAATCTACATTATAACCCTGAGAGTCCACTCGGAATCCCACCTCTGGCCTCAAACAGCCTGGACACCACTATGCTGAAAGAACTTTCAGCCCACTTGCACACGAGGAGCTGCAGTGTTACAAATGCCACCAGATGACACACACACAAAACTCCCCCGGGGAAACCAGGTCACTAATGCCCTACCGTCCCCTAAGGGCCTGCTGAACACCTCTGAACTAGTGCTTAGGGCACCTCGGTCCAAGCTCCTCTCTTCCTTCCCCCGCCCAGTCTGTGTTCTGCTCACATCTCATAAATCAGATTAAAAGAACACAAAGTGCAGCATTAGACAGTCTGGACCCAGCCAAAAATCTGCCCCGAGCTTACAGGAGCCAATGGTACTCAAGATAGGGCCCAGCAGGGCTCACCCAGAGTTCAGGCACAGCAGGGCAAGGCTAGCTGCATGGAAGGATTCAGGGTAAACCTCTCTGCACCACACCCCTTGTTCAAACAATAGAGATTAGAGACTATGACAGGCTTCACACCAAGGGGCAGAAGCAGCTGTAACTGCTGCCCAGACAACAGCGCAGGAAAGGCAACCTGTTACAGTCTGAAGAATCTAACTATCCCCTAAGGGGTGAAGACACAAGAAACCCAAAGAACGAGGGCAAAGGGGGAGCAATATTTTGCCCATCTGTAGCATCTTTCAGGTCAGAGTAAACATGAATGATTAAAACCTCACAAAAAGAAGAACAGGAGGACTTGTGGCACCTTAGAGACTAACAAATTGATTAGAGCATAAGCTTTCGTGGACTACAGCCCACTTCTTCGGATGCATATGAATACAGACTAATACGATACAGACTAACACGGCTGCTACTCTAAAACCTCACAGCCCTCACTGGGAGGTCACTACTAATAACTCCATTTGAGAGATGGGGACACTGAGGTACAGAGAGGTTAAGAGACTTGCCCAAGGTCACACAGCAAGTCAGCAGGAAGAGAACCCAAGACTCCCAATCCTCCACTATAGCCATTAAATAAGATGGCTTCTTGTTTTCTGGTTGAGAGCAGGCAGCAATAGCGTAGTGGGTATGGACAGAACAGGGCCCCCCTTCTTCTTCACCCCGAGCCCCTAAACACCCCAGCTTCCTATCAGTTTGCTCAATTACAAGTTTTGCAAGTAAGCAAAAGGCACGTTACCAGATGAAGCATTGCATGCTGGTACTTGTAGTGCCCACAGGCTGCTCTACCACTGTTAATGAGGGAAGCAGATACAGTCTGGCTCCACTTTATTCTCTGTGGGGCACCAGGAAAGCAGCCATCGCAGCCCTGAGCCCTGCTGTGGAAGGCAAACCAGCAAAAGCAAGATTGGAAATAACAGGGCTGGGGCCTTTTCCCACCTCAGATACTTTGTATTCACAGGTCAGCTTCTTGCCCTTGACACCTTCATTCAGGGTGAGGATGAAGCCTATGTAGTCTGCATATGCCTGCAAACAAACACAAGTAGAAGGGGTGTTAGCTGAGCACTGACTGTTACTTTGGAGGCAAGCAACGCCAGTGTGAGAAGCCTAGAGCTAACCGAAGGGACGATGCCCAACCCACAGCATCAGTTTCCTGGGATAGCCCAGGACATGGCTTGTTCTGCTGCTACTGCCTTGTCCTTGGGGACCCCTAGACCGATGGGAACTCCTGGAACATTACTAAGTGCACTTTGAGCCCTCGGTGGTGACATCACACTGACCAAGCTCTCTGTACAAACAGCCCAAACCACGACCCTCCTCCTTGAATCCCCTTGCCAGGTTCCTGTCTCTTACCATGCCACGTTCAAGCTCCTCATGTCCAGGCTTTGCACAATCTCGGCCCTGTCTACATCACTGCTTGTTTCTTCCTACTCCATATCACTTCTCCCAAACCTCTCCCTTTATCTACTTCTCCCGCTCTCTGCGCCAGGCCTTCTTTCACACTACCCACAATTAGGAGAAGTGGCTGAAAGTTGCCCCAAGCACATACCTTTCTCTCTCTTCTTTCAGACCCCCTGCTTGTGAAGCGCTGCATACAGAATAGAGTCAGACTGATCAGGAAACACAGTAGCGAAGGTGAAAGTGCCACAAAGCCCTGGGAGTAGTGAATGGCTTTTTTCTTTTTTGGGGAAGACACTTTCAAATATCTGGGCGAGCTCATTGTCACCTGCAACCCCTCTCCCCCCCATGACTTCCTGCCACAGAAGCCCTGGGCAGAAATAAGACTTAAAGCCCAGGCAAGGGGACAAAGGAAGCTTCAGCCACAGGCCTTCGTGAAGACCTTGTTATCATTTAAGACCCGTTGGGTGGCATCATAGCTTGGTCCCCATGTAAGAGCTATTCCCACCCTGCTGTCCCCACCCCTCAACAGCAAGTTTGGACCCCAGACACAAGAACACAGATCGTGACAGTTCCTGGGGTTCAATCCAAAACATTTACCTCAGGAACTATGTGCTTTACCTTCGCAGCCCTTTCTTCTGCATCAAGCTAAGCAGACCCCATTAAAAACAGCCACCCCAGTGCCACTACAGGCCCTCTATGCGGGACTGGTGTTCTTGGTTTTATTAACCATTTAAAATGATCTCTTCTCCTGGCTCTTTCACAAAAGTTTACAAAAAAACCACTAGACTGGTGAGAAGGGTGTTGGCCACAATGTGCTGGAGCAGAGACCACATTGCTTGTGGGCATCAAGTTCAAGAGCTGCTCAGAATTGTCAAACTCATTACATCACTCAGCCCAGTTAGATGAGAGGTTAAAGTCTCAACAAACCAGTATTGCTGACAAAGGGGATGCCTCAATCTAGTCCAAAGAGAGCTGGGCTGACCAAGAGGCCAACTGTCGCAAGTTCACACACACAGCAAGACGGATATAACACTGGGAAAAGTCAAGTGCACAGAGAGCCTGAAGTTGTCTCGATGTATTGCAATGAAACAACTGCAATTGTGCTAGTAGTAAAACCTTTGCTAAGGTCCCTTGTACGCCAGAAGAACTACCATATCTTCATCAACTCCCTTTTCCAACACCAACATTAGGAAGGGCCAACTTCTCTCAGTTTCTTGGGTTAGTACCTAGACTGACAGCCACCTCAAGTCTAAGAACTACCATATCAGGGATCATATTATACCATGACAGGATGGATCGTAAACATACCTGTGGACGGAAAGCTATGTTATAACAATATTAAGAAACTATGTTTGGTGATCACACTTAACATTTTGTTTCTGAACTTGGTTAAAACGTGGAGGGTCATACAGAAAAGTAAACAACATGCTTTATCATGGCTGGCCCAAAGACACGTTTTGCATGGATACTTCTTTACTGTGGACAGGGCTATCATCACAGGCCAGATCAACACTAGAGGAAAAACTATATTTGAAACTATCTCAAACTTCAGTGCAATCACTGCGGGGGTAAACTAGGTTCTAGCATGGTTTGAAGGGCCAGGATAGAGATATCAAGACAGTTACAGTCATTCTTATAAAGTCACTTTCTAGCCTAGACTCTATGCAGGAATGGGTAACACTTATGGGAGGATAGATCTAATAGTTTTAGCCCACTCACCATGGCACTTTGGGCTTTGCCTACACTAGCCCTGAGTAAAGGCACCCATTACAATACGGTTAGGATTAAATCCTGAGTACTTGGTGACTTCTTTCTCCATAACTGGACTAAATCCCTACACTGGCCAAAGCTATAGCATTGCAACTTCTAACCATGTTGTAACCAGGTCCCCTGATTTTGTTTTAGCCACAGCATAAATAGGACCTTACACTTCTTATTTACCAGAACCCGACAGAATATTTTTCACGTCACAATTGCTACCATCTGTAGACAGGGTTTAATACCATGGTCCCAGTGAGATCAGAGTCACTCCAGCCACAATCACGTTTCTCAGACTATACCCTGTCTGCAACGGTAACATGCCTAGAACTCTGCTAGCAACATGTTTAAACATGATCATGAGGGGTATGAATCTCCTTGCAGCATAGACCATGCCTGTGTGTTAATCAGAGCTCACAGAGGGATCTCTCTCCTCCTTGTCCAGGCTCTCATCCCTTCAACACTTCTGTAGAGGAAAAATGGTTCACCAGCAGTGGTAGCAAGAGTCAGAGCGTAGTCACGGCTCAAGCATTTTACCGCTGTGTTGTCTAATCCTACACGTTGGCAAAAACACCTGAGCTCTGTCTACCCTACAGCTGCCACTGGTGATGAACTACAGGATACACTGGTGTCAACATAGACAAGACCTACCTGCCATCACAAAATTACTCCCCAAGCAAGAGCTGCCAGTATCCAAAAGCCCTCTATTGTTGTCATTAAAGGTTACCGGGGGAAAACGAACTTTATGACAATTCATGTGGCATTAGCCATGCTGCTCTTTTTAAAAGCAAAAGAATTATTCCACATAGCTCGACCCAACCCCATTCAGTCCATTAGCTAGGCCCAAACCAGGCTTGGCCTTTTCCATGCAAATGCTGCCCCAGGGACACATCAGGCACTAACAGACTGTCCCTGGACCCAGTTCCATACCTGAGAGCGTTTCCACTTGGCCATGTCGGGTACCATATGTATTTCCTTTTTGGGGATCATGAAACTCTGGCAGAGGGGAGGTGTTGCCTCCTCAGGAGAGCCTGGAAGACGAAGAAGAGAGAGAGGTCAAACATAGCCAGATATTAAAGACTCCCCCTTTAATCCCAGCCACTTCTTAGATGGCAACGTTCATTTTTCTGGACCAAAAGGTATTGAATTCTATGACCTGTTCTCACCCTCATGCTCTGATCCCATCAGGTCTCACATGCTAAGCAGCGTCAGGCCTGCTCAGTACCCTGACGGCTGAGCCTCAAGAAATCCCAGGACACTGCAGAAAACAGCATTATTATTTCTCATTTGTATTACCATAGCACCTAGGAGACCTAGCCGTGTCCCAGGATCCCACTGTGCTAGGCACTGTACAATCACAGAACAAAAAGACCTGTCCAGCCCCAAAGAACTTACAATATCAGTATAAAGCAAGAGACAACAGATGGGGGGGGGGGTGCGGGAGTATAAGTGAACAATGAGACAATATTGGTCAGCATGATAGGCAGTGGTCTCAGCACACCACCAGACTAATCATCATCCAATGTTTTGTAGGCGTCATGGTAATCATAGCATTAGGCTAGGTCTTCACTGCAAAAGGTGTGGTTTTACATTGGGAGCCATCTCCATGTAAAAATACATCCTCTTTTTGCAGTGAACACAGAGCATCAGTGATTCAGTAGGTGGCACTCTTCTCTCGGTACTGAACTAGTGTCCCTAGGTTGGCTTTAGGGTGATGCTGAGAAGTACGAACTGAGGTTCTTTATAAAGCACTTTGAGATCCTGGGATGACAGGCTCAATAGAAATGCAAATAATTAATGCAGAATCAGCAACATTCCTGCTCCCCCACCCAGGTACACAATTAGCCAGGAACCCTCTTTCCCATGAGCTTTCACAAAAAGGAAATAAACCCTGACATATGGGTCACTCCTTTCCTAATTCCTCTGCAGTCCAAGGTGAACAACTGGTTCTAGTCTCAGCCTGCAGTCCCACGCGAGGACACTGCAGAGTTGGAAACATTGCCACAAGGTTAAAGGCATATTTGCATCACGTTGCCATTAGCAAACTTAGAATCAAGGTGTAATACAGCAAACAACAGTGAATCAGACAACCAAGAGGGTATTTAGCATGAAATTATGAGCTATATCATAGTCACCTGATTAATGCTTTCAACCCTAGAACATTTCAAACCTTTTGTCCAGCACCAAGCACCCAGACATTTAAATAATCATTCTTAGCACTAATGGCAAATTCTAAACATCATTTTCCAACAAAAGTTGAACTGCCTAAAAGAAAAATGTTTATAAATCACTTGCACAGTTAATACTGCCCAGAAGTGTTCACCAGCTCTTCCCTTTTCTCCAGCAAGGTAGCACCGTCTAGAATCACAGCAGACGACTAGGAGTCAAAACTCCTGCATTCCATTGCAAGCTCTGCCACAGCCTCACTGTGCTGCTTCAGGAATGTCATTTAACCTCTCTGTCCCTTAATTTCCCCTTCTACAATACAATACCATTGAGGGTTAGTTAACAGATGTTTGTAAAGTACTTTGAGAGCCTCAGATATAAAGGTGGAATTTTATCTGTATTCAGAAAAGCTGCAGCTTAACAAACTCACAACTAAGTAATGTCACATTATTGCAAGTTGTTTTTAAATAATGCTTTACAAATCAAAGACAACAAACAGCAAGTTCAATAAACCCTCAGTGCACTGATAAAGGAAGATGTGAAAACTTTGACTAGCAAAAAGATTGATCCCCTGTAACAGGACGGAGGAGGACAGGATGGCCTGAAGATAAGACACTAGATTGGGACTCAGAAGGCTTGAGCTATGATCCCAGTTCTACCACTGTTGAGCAACTCACTTCATCTCTCTGTGCTTCTTCCCCCACACACCCCTTGTCTATTTAGAAAGCAAGTTCTCTGGGGTAAAGACTGTCTCTTACCAGGTGTTGTATAGCACCTAGCACAAAAGGGGCTACTGTAATATATATACACAACAATTTGTTTCTAGGAAAGAGCCAAGGAACTGTGCTCTGGGGAGGAGAAGAGGGTATTTTATGGTAAGAACTGACCTTGACAATGGAGACTTGCCCAATCCTTTCCGCACCTGGAAAACGCCATTTATCCACCTGGATCTAATCCAGCTCAGAGAAGGCATCTCAGGTAACAGAATACCTTGTCCCTTCAGTCAAAAACCAGAGAGCTGCTGGATCTCAGCTCTGCATTTGTTTCTTGTATTTGATTATTTTAAGAATTAATTGAACAACAGCTTCATCCACAAGTGACACTAGTAACATTAATTCCCTTCCAATTGTCAGATATGGGGGACAAACAAATCCCACCTGAATTTCAAAACAAAAAACACTACTACATTTGAATCACCTCTGTACATTTGCTCCAAATTCTCTTTGGATCCTTTTCACTTCTATAGCACATAATCTCTAAGGATCTCAAAGTATTTTCCACATATACTTAACTTCTGAGAGAAGGCAGGTATTATCCCCATTTTACAGATAGGAAACTGAGGCTTCTAGATGCTAAGTAATTTTCCCAGACCTGAAGTAGAAACCTGATATCCTGACTCCCAATCCTCTGCTCTAACCACTAGCCTAGATTCTGAAATGGCCTGCACCAGGAGATGTTTAATATAGGGGAGAAAGAGACACTTGGCTGAGGAGTGCCCATACACATTAATAACATCAGCGGCAAAAGGGTTGCTTTGGGCCAGTGGTCTATCCCCAGAATAGCAGCAGCCCAAGATACAGCCAGTGACAGTCAGGTAAAAGGTCCAAGGTGCCAACGACAACTTCAGTGAACCACCATTCCCCCACATCCCCTCTGCAGCCCCCACAAAGCACAGACACCTCTGACTACTATCCCCACAGTAACCCTCCTAACAGATACTCCTCCCCATACAAGACTTCACCTGTGAACCAGGGGGATGGTAACACCCCCACCCCCATAGCTAGCATCAGTCTCTCTGGGGCTTCCAGTATGGGCCCTCAGAATAACAATCTCAAAGAGGGGCATCACAGCCTGCTCCCCCACACCATGCAGCTCCAAGCACAGGAACAGTCCCCCAAAGAGTACAGCAAGATCCCATCCCTACCAAGGGGCAGAGAACCCTACATTACAGTCTCCTGCCACTCACCCTTCCACCCCAGGGTACATGGACTCTTGAGGAGCCCAGCTCTTCCCCACATTTTGGTGCACAGAGACCACCTGCCCCAATAGAGGGCATCACGCAGACTTCCACACACACAGTATGGGGAACAGGACCCCTGCCCCCATAGCAAGCATCACCCAGCCTTCCCCACACACACTATGGGGCACAGAGACCCCCCTGCCCCCATAGAGGGCATCACCTAGCCTCCCCCCGCCTCTGGGCACCACACAAGACCCCGGCCCTCACCATAGGGCGCAGAACCCCTGCCCAATGCCACCCCCCTCCCATGTAGGACATCACGCTACCACCCCCAAACACCCCTGCAGAGCTTCCCCCCTACCTGTCTGCCGCTCGCTCTCTGCCATCTTCCTGGAACCAAGCCCCCGCCGTTATCACCTTTCACCTTTCACCTCTTAGCACAACTGAACTGTCGGGCGGCCATATTTGTGCCGGGCACGTCATCCACCATAGAGCTCCTCGGGCGGACATATTTGCACGGGGCACTCAAAAGTACCTCGGGGGCCATGTTTGTGCGGGGCGCTGCGGATTCCACACATATACTAAGGCGGCCATATTTGTGCGGGGCACTCGTGTCAACTAGGAACCTTTGGGGGCTTAATCTCAGGCCTCAGTGAAATAGATAGCCCTGTGGAACACGAGTCAGTCAGTAGCTAGGGGACTCCCCCACCTGCCTCTGAAGTGGGTTACTGTGGGATGGAATGTAAGGCAGATCCAGATCTGGGCCCCCACCCAAAATCAGGATGTGTACGCTTCAGAACCAGAGCCGCCCCACTTCATACTCCAGAGTCTCTGAAATCTGGGGTCGTGGCACGTCAGAATCCAAACCCAGCTCCGGATCCCCATTTTCATGGGCGGCCTCTTCTCTGTTATGCCAAAAAAAGCTACATTCAAAGACTAAAAAGGTTTCAAAGCAGGGTGACCATATGTCCCGTTTTGGCCGGGACAGTCCCCTTTTTCAGCTGTCCCAGACGTCCCTACTTTTTTGCCAAAACTGGGCGTTTGTCCCAGCTGTAAGGCAGAGCGGAGAGCAGTGGCTGCTGCCCAGGGATCAGCTGAAAGCAACACTGCCCGCCAGCAGCAGCAGAGAAATTTGCTACTGGCGGGCAGCACTGCCTTCAGAGCTGACCCCCAAGGTGGTGCAGAGCTCAGGAGGTCAGCCCCAGCTGCAGGTGGCACAGGGCTCGGGCATTCAGCCCCAGCTGCAGTGGCGTGGGGAGGGTGGTTCTGGTGAGCCCTGTGCGTGGTGGAGGGGGTGGTTTGGGCAAGCCCTAGGCTGTCCTGTTTTTATTTTCAGAAATATGGTCACCCTATTTCAAAGTCAAGCACCCAAAAGTTATAAATGCCAGAATTCGGGTTCTGCCTGCTTGCACATCTGCATTACACTACAGCCTTTCATTACAGGAACATGTAGTATTGTTTACCTAGGATCCTTGCCAAATAATTTTGGACAGGGTCAAAACAAGGTATTTTTTCCCTAATCTCATTCTCAGAAATGGCTTGGCCATTTTTGCTGAAACTTTCCCAAAATATTCAGCCTATGGCAGACACCCCACAATGAAAGTTTCAGCTTAAATAGTTGAAGTTTGTCATGGCTATAAGTGAGCGAAAACTATCGTAAAATGGAAAGTGTAAAGTAATCTGAATGATAGATGCCACTACCAGTTCTGCCTATAATAAACCAAGCCCCCAATTCTAAATACCCCCCAAACCCAAACCCAGCTCTGTCCCATCATTTTGTAGATGGCCCCTCTCTTTATGAAGGGAGGGATGAGGGAAGAGAACCAGACAGACATCTCTAAACTGTAGGAGGGCTGGAAATCCAGACACAGGTCCAACTACTGCAGATAGATCAGAATGCTCAGTGTTGTACAGGATCAAGAGGCAGACATTGTCCGTGCTCCGAGTCGCTGGCAATCAGAATCACTGAGACATTGAGATATAACACATTGGCTGTGGGTCTCATCTCCCTGCAGTACAGATATTTTCTCTTATACTTTTCTATTCGTTTACTATTCATTAAAGGTTTCCTAGAATGATATCTGCTTTAAGGAGGGATTCCTAGGAAAGGAAGAATGCTTGACACATGAGAAAGAAAACGAAGAGTACTTGTGGCACCTTAGAGACTAACAAATTTATTTGGGCATAAGCTTTCGTGGGCTAAAACCCAACTTAATTGGATGTTAGTCTCTAAGGTGCCACAAGTACTCCTCATTCTTTTTGCTGATACAGACTAACACGGCTACCACTCTGAAATGAGAAAGAGACTGGCCCAAGCATAAGTGGTGTCATAGAGAAAAAAAATGCATAGATAAGCGTGGGATAATGCTGGATGGAGCATAGTCAGCAAACCTAGGGGCAAATCCGGCACTAAGCGTAAGCAGACTAAGCAATTGCCTAGGGGGGCAATCAGCTCAAGGGGACCCCCTATTAATTATTAGTATGTGTTTTGTGTGGGAGCCCCAAAATATGCATATTTAGGGCCCCCAATGGGTTAGCACTGCCTGGTGGAGGGGGAATAGGAAGTAACAGAGAGCAGAAATAACAGTTAAGAGGTAGCATTGTGCAGAGTTGCAAAGGTGAAGAAGAAGAAGATGAGTTTACTGCAGGAGAAAGTCAGGGAAGGGATTTGAATACCTTGGGAGGGGAAAGGTTATATGTAGGCTTAGAAGGATTAAATGTTTATTTGTAGATGTCAGCAAACATTTATTTCACTGCACACACAAACCAAGGAGAAAAGATTCCCATCAATAACTGAAATTTACAGATATGCGAAGTAAGAAAAATATAGTTTTAGAACTTAGATTAAAATCCATTTACTTTTGAATTAGGCTTGTTACAAATGGACTAGCAAATGAATAGTAAAAACACGTGCGATTTGTTGATTTAGGGATATTTACTTTGTGCATTTTGACATGATGTTCACAGTTTGGGTTTGAACGTTTGTAAAGCTTGACCTTTTTACATTTCAGTGTCTAATTAAATAGTTGTCTAAATCCCTCTTTAATTTCCCACAACTGTAAGAAGTTTGATAGACATCTAAAGACATGCTTAAAAATAAACAGAGGTATCCAATAAAATTATAAAAAAACATAGAAATGGAATCCTGCCAAGCCTAGCTGTACGGTCAGAGTGGCAAGACAAGCAGGTAATTTTACCTACAGCAGTTTGGATGGACTGGAGTAAAGTGACCATGTGTCACGGCTGCACCACCTTGGCCAACACACTGAGGAGTTAAAGCATGAGCTGTCGTAGACTGAATGAAAGCCTCAAGGCTCATCAGCAGGGGCTGTCATAACCTCTGGGAGTCAGCCCAGAGGGGGACATGTACACATTCCTTGGAATGGACACTCCTCTCTGCAAGCACAAGTCCCAGCTGTCAGAGCCATTCCCTCTGTTGATCTCTTCTCCCTACCTCAACCCCTGAGAGACAAAGCGAGAAAGAGGGGGGAGATGCCTGCACTAGTTCAGGCAAGGGATCTGCTGTCATCAGAGAGCTATGCGGAGGAGGACCTTGCCCCTCACAAAGATGGTAGCGCCTCTGCTTATTGGCTCTTGCAGAGGAGGGATGTGCCCCTCACAAAGATGGCTGCTCTGCTGTGCCCTCCCTTAACGGCTGCTGAGCCAGGGAAGGCCGTGTGTGCTTGTTACGCTGTATCTGGGCTGCTGCTGCTGAAGTTACACTGTAGCTGACTGTCCCTGTATCTTGCAAGATCAAGGCCGGCGCTGCTGTGTTTACAGGACTTTGCTCACTCAGGACAGTGGCTGGTAGCCAGGGTGGTGCATGCACGGGGCTATGCTGGCCTTCATAGCAAGGAGCATGGTAAGTAAGAGCTTGATCCCTGCTTTGCAGGCTGGTTTAATGTTCATAGCAAGGAGGAAGGGGGGAGCTTTCCCTGCTTTGAACAACCTTGGGACAGTGACCCATGGCCTTATCTAGTGGTGTCTGATATGGTCTTGTGAGGATGAGACCAGGGCTTCTAGAGTCTCTGAGAAACTGGCAGAGTTGGGAGAAACCTGAAAGTTTTTTTGCTCAGGGAGATTTGAGGGGGCAGTGAGATAAATGTCCGACGCTGACTTTATGGGACGGGTGAGGGAGGATGAGGGGGGAGAAGATCTGGCTTGTACCAATGCAGCTGTAGTGTAATTTTCTTGTAGGATGTAAAAATGTTTTGCAAGAAAGATCATTAAAAATTATAGGGTGTGGGGGGAGGATTACTGCTAGGCATAACTCTCAGCTAAAGGACAGGGATTTCCATTCGATGCATAGTAATTTCACTAAGGGGATGGGATGGTCTTGGCCAGTTGCTAGGATCACTCTTTGAGTTTGACACAGTCCGTGAAAGGCTGCGAATATTGTTCCGCTTGAGAATTTTGATTTTATAATGTTTTTTTCCCCTGGTGTCTGTTGCCAGCAAAACATCTCCTAGGTCTTCCCCTGGGCTGGGAGCAACCTTTGTCAGTTTGCAGAACTTGATTATGTGCCTTTATCAACTCAAGCTTTTGCCAAGAGCTAGGTTACTGATTCATTCATCCTTTCACCTGGGCACCGCCCTCTTGGTTTGCTTGGAAATTGAAAGCAGGGCTGATATGTACCTGCCAGTGTTTTTTTTGTTTTGTTTTGTTTTGTTTTTTTAACTGATTAAGAAAATATTCACATATTCCAGGAGGAATATGTCAGTGAAATCTTCTGCATTTGCTCCACTATGTACTTTAACTGGACTCTTTCCTTTCATTTTGGAATCTTGAACTCATGCCTATAGTAGCTGCATCATTCAGCCAAAGTTTGCTTAAAGTTCTCCACGTACGACGTAGGGGAGAAGTGCTGCAAATTGACTTCTACTCATGACATTGCTGAACATTCCAGTGCAAAGGACTACATGGTTCTGTTTGGGTTATAGCTGCTGCTAGCAGGATTCTCATAGGCTTCCCTCAGTTACAACTGTATCATACTAGTGTTTACTAAACCATGCAAAAGACATGCGCTTCTATCAGATCCTGGTCATGCTCCCTGAAGCGGCCATGAAATGGCTTTTGTCAGTTTTATGCCAACACTTAGACCATTTTCAATATCAGATGAAGGGGAACTGTGGTTGAAAATCATTCTCGGCATCAGTTCCATTTCCTAATGTAGTCAAGGCTCGAAGGAAGTGGGTACCTTTAGCAGTGGGGTGCCTTTAATAAATCTCTTTCCACACCAGTGAGGGGGAAATTATATTATAACCTTGCTGTCAGGATCACTGTTGAAACTAGCATGGTTTGAGCCATAGTTGACAGAGCTCAGGAGAATTGCGGATTATTTTTTTGTTCACCTGCTGCAAGAATCCCCTTTTCTCCACATCACAGCTGTGCTACCTGTCCCGGGACTCATGGTCTCTGTGATTTTTAATTTTTCTTTAAAAATATCCATATCATCTGACACTTTGCATGTGGCTGGGTGGATGTGATGGTAACAAGTGAATCAGACATTACTTAGACCTTCCTTGTGACTCCAAACCCACAAGTGTTGCTAAGTGAAATCCTGAATAGGACATGAAAGGCCAGTCTACATGGCAAAGCCTACACAAGGACTCTGATTAACAGGTTGGTTTGGTTTGTGGGGATGGAACCAAACTAATACAACCCCCTACTTTAAAGTAAACCAATTAACATGTAATAGGGCCGTGTCATGAGTCTGGCCTTGGGAGAGAAGTAACTTATGTAGCAAAGCTAGAACAAGGTTTGGCACAGAACACACATGAGACGGAGCCATAGGGCGGTCCATGAATTCCCTGTAGATATATGCATTGATGGAGGGTCACCTGGTATGTGTGGATTGCCTCCCTTCCTCGTGTGGAAAGGAGAGTCAGCGGTCTACTGACTGCTCCTATGTTCCTGATTTGTTCACTGGGATCTCAGTACGTGCCTGGTAGATACTGGCACTAAAATGAACAAGTAAGGGCTGGTTGGGGTAATATCCAGATGTGATGCTCAGATTTTGAGTTGTGTGGGTGTGATATTTTAATTATTTATTTTTCTTTTTCACCTTTTCACTGCGATCCATCCATGACTTTTTTTTCTTTTTAATAAACCCCCCCAAACAAACAAACAAAAATAGCTCTTTCATGGTGTTTCTTACTGGAATATTGTTGCATAAAAGTTTGATTGTTTGTAGGACTGCTCATTTATTACACCTCTACCCCGATATAACGCTGTCCTCGGCAGCCAAAAAATGTTACCGCGTTATAGATGAAACCGCGTTATATTGAACTTGCTTTGATCCGCCGGAGTGCGCAGCCCCACCTCCCCGGAGCACTGCTTTACCGCGTTATATCCGAATTCGTGTTATATCGGGTCGCGTTATATTGGGGTAGAGGTGTAATTACATTAAGTTAAACACATGCTGTTAAGACTGGAAGAGGCTGATATTCATCTTATTATTTTTCTTTATGTCTGGAATGCCCATGTAACGTTATTGTTGTGAGATGTTTTCTAATGACAAACAAAGTTGCCAACAGCCCAGAACTCATGATGTACAATGCTATAATGCTAAATTAGTGTGCATGTGACTCTGGACACTGGTTATAGGATACGGCCTCAGTAGGCTGTTGGTTCAACGCCAGCCCAGGGAGTGAGGTCTGGGCCTTGCCTTGGTCCTGCACTCCAGCCAGGGAGTGGGGTCGGGGCTTGCCCCGCTCCGCACGGCTCCCAAGAAGCATCTGGCATGACCCCTCTCCGTCTCCTATGTAGTATGCGCAGACATGGCCAGGTGGTTCTGCACGCTGACCCATCTGCAGGCACTGCCCCTGCAGCTCTCATTGGCCGCAGTTCCTGGCCAAGGGGAGCTGCAGGGGTGGCGCCTACGGATGGGGCAGCGCGCAGAGCTGCCTGGCTGCACCTCGCAGCCGGAGGGGGGACATGCTTCCGGGAGCTGCTTGCGGTAAGTGCCGCCCATAGCCTTCACCCCGAGCCTCCCCTCTGCCCCCCCCCCCCGCATCCCAATCCCCTGCCACAGTCCTCCGAACCCATTAGTCCCAGTCCAGAGCATCCTCCTGCACCCCAAACCCCTCATCACCGGCCCCACCCCAGAGCCTGCATCCCCAGCTGGAGCCCTCACACCCATACCCCAGCCCCCTGCCCCAGCCCCGATCCCCTTCCCACCTTCCAAATCCC